AAAAGCCTTCCACGGATACGGTTCATCAATGGAACCAAAAGCCTTCCACGGATACGGTGCTCAAGAAAAAACAATTGTTGAACCAAAATTTATCACAGCTCCAGTTGCAGAATATGGTGCTCAAGAAAAAACAATTGTTGAACCAAAACTCATCACAGCTCCAGTTTCAGAATATGGTTCATCAATCACAATGGAACCAACAGAAGAAAAAATAATGGAACAACCAAAATTCATTCAATCATATGGTTCATCACTCCCAAAACTCATCGAAACACCAAAAACCTTACCAACATCAGGTTATTAAATAAACAACAAAATCGAAACTGAGAGTTGAATCGATCAGTCAATGATTTTATTATATTTTTCCTGATGTGTGTTTCTTTTTAACATCTTCGACATACTTTTCATTTTTTCTCTCTCTTACTCTTATTCCGACTTTAATGTAATATCGTTTCTCGTTTTCTCAGACTTATTGTCTTCTTTGATTTTACGCAAATAAATTCCGATAAAAAACAAACCTTTATTCTTTATTTACTATAACTCTTATCAATAAGAATTTATATGAAATCGAGAAGAAAAAGATATTATATACATACGTGATAAAGAATGTACTCTAGTGGACATAAGAAATTCAATCAAATAGTTTGGTTATCATTTTTTTTCGAAGAAGAAGAAGAAAAAAAGCGTTGGATGGGAGATTTTCAACAGAAATATTAACACATCATTATTTACTGCTAATAATATAAAGAAGAATTTTTACAGAAAGAAAAAAAAGATTTATTACTATTCAAACATATTCGAGGGTTTGAGTGGGAGAGTGTCATTAATTATAGTCAATAAAACATTAGTTGTATATTATCCTTGAATATAATCACAACTAGTTTCTTTTTTACAATTGCTATAGTACATTCTTAATGTAAAGATAAATACGACCACTTTGTTTTTGTAAATAAAAACTATTTTATATTTCGAATAATTAGTAACAAAATAAATCAATTATTATATATTCTGTTTCTTTTTACTAATTAGATTTAAGTACACAAAAAAAAAGCAGATTAGATCAACGATTTCTTTTTTTTTATTATATAAGCTTTGTAACTAATCAGTATATAAACTTAAATTATTGATCTATATTTTCATATATATGATTTGTTTTCATTCAAATGGATAGTAATGACATCTATCTATCAATACAACCATTTTGTTATTTACTTATTATAAGAAGAAAAAAAAAGTAACTTTATAAATTATTTTGTTTATATTTTGTTTTCTGACCATACAAATGAATAATACAGAAATGTAATAATAAAATCTAGATGGATAATTTTCAAACGAATAAAATCTTATTTTTCTTCTTTAGCTTTCAATAATCATGCTTGGGGAGAGAGCTATTTTTATTTCTGTATAGTAGATTTCGTGTGTATTCATTATTTTTCTTAAAGATTTGATTTAATTTAATAGATAATATATAATTTCAATTGAGAATGATGTTAACTCGATATGCATCGAACAATGCAGCTCTTCGATGTGTTACATATTCTTTACATATGCTCAAGCGGCCTCCATCTTCATCTTATCAAGCTATGTCTTATGTTCATTCATTACAAAAACCAACAAATACTATTCCGATCTCATCAATAAATAATTCCATATTGGTAAATTTGTTTTTTTCAAATACAAATCTTATAATTTAAATATGAATATTTAGCATTTTGATTCTCGTCCATTTTCATTATCAGTATCTCGATTATCATCGGTTGTTCAATTTAAATTAGCTGATATTGGTGAAGGTATACGTGAAGTTGAAGTTAAAGAATGGTTTGTAAAATAATTTTCTTTTTAAAATATAAATCAAATTTTTTAGGTATGTTAAAGTCGGTGATCAAGTTAAACAATTTGATAAAATTTGTGAAGTACAATCGGATAAAGCAAATGTAACAATAACATCACGATATGATGGAGCAATAGTTAAACTTCATTATAATGTCAATGCAACAGCTATAGTTGGTGAACCACTTGTTGATATTAGACTTCAACATGGTATTGAAGTACCAGCTGCAACTCAATGTAAATATTAAAAAAATTAAAAAATTAAAGAAATACTTTTTGTTTCTTATTTTAGCTGCGCCTGTTATTCCTGAAGAACCGGTGAAAACTGAAACATTGAATAAAATTCCATCACCAGATATTTTAGCTACGCCTGCTGTTAGACGAATGGCAAAAGATTTACAAGTAACAATATCGTGAAATTTGATGTTTGATTTTAATGATTAGTTTTTAAAACTAGATTTCATTAAATGATGTTCAAGGTTCAGGAAAAGATGGAAGAATTTTGAAAGAAGATTTATTAAATCATAAATCTGCAGCATCAAAACCTCCTCCAACTGGTTTGTTGATTTATTTTTTGCAAAAACTAATATAATTAAATAATTTGTTTTTTCTTCTTTTAACAAGCTTCTCCGCCATCACCAGCAACTGTTAAAACAGCTCCAACAATTAAACCTCGTCCAACAACAACAACAGTTGCTGATCGTAATGAACCAATAAAAGGTATTAAAAAAGCAATGGTTAAAACCATGACTCAAGCAAATACGGTACCACATTTTACTTATTGTGATGAATATGATATGTCACAATTAGTTAAATTACGAAAACAATTAAAAAAACAAAATAAAGATATTAAAATATCTTATTTACCATTTATAATTAAAGCATGTTCACAAGCTTTATTAAATCATCCAATTCTTAATGCACATGTCGATAGTAAATGTGAAAATATAACTTATAAAGTAAAATAAATCTAGATATGAAATAAATGCAAAAAATTTTATTTTTTTGAAGGGTTCACATAATATTGGCATTGCAATGGATACAAAAGATGGTTTATTAGTACCGAATATTAAAAATGTTCAACAATTATCAATAACTCAAATTGCAAATGAACTTAATCGTCTTCAACAACTTGGAAAAGCAGGAAAACTATCAACTGATGATCTTACAGGTGGAACGTTTTCATTATCAAATATTGGAGCTGTAAGAAAATGTTTTTTTATTTACTGTAGATATGAAAATTCTTCTAAGAATAGATCGATTTAGAGATTGAATATCGATCGTTTGATCTAATCTTATGCACTTTAGATATATCTACTGTGGGGGCGTATCGACTAGGACACGCGTGGGGCGTTACGCCCTTCTGCTTCGAAAATGTTTTGTTTTTTTTATCAATAAAATCAAAAACAAGGGTTTTTTGGTATTAAATTTAAGCAAAAAGGGTGTCGCGTCCCCCTGTCTCGGAGACCTTAGTACGCCCCTGAATCTACTAGTAAATAAAATATTCTCACGTGATATGAATCATATTTTTATGAAGAAAATATTTGTTTATATTAAAATTTTGTACGACATTCTATTCATATATAAACCTATCTAAGAACGAAATTTCATTTCTTAAATTATTTGTATACGTAACACTGGATTCAACCCTTTTTAAATGAATAATTCGAATTTAATTAACTACAAAAGAATTCTCGATGTAGATTATTATTAAAATAGTTTATGAAATGACCTCAGTCATATTAATTTTCTAGCATGTGCATTCAAGCAACATAGTTTTCAATGATTTTATAAATATTTTTTTTACATAGATTGGTGGAACTTATGCAGTACCTATTCTTCTTTTACCAGAAGTTGCTATTTGTGCACTTGGAAAAATAGTGGTAAGATAATTGATTATTTTCGTTTAATTTATTTTATAAAAATATATATTTTTTTCTAGCGACGAATCGTTCCCGATGAAGAAGATGATGAAAGCTCTTCATCAAGTTCAAGTGATGATGAATATTGCTCATATAGTGTTCGTTCAATGATGTCGGCTAGTTGGTCTGCTGATCATCGTGTTATCGATGGTGCTACTATGGCTCGATTTTCTAATGAACTAAAATATTTACTTGAAAATCCACTTCAACTACTTATTAACCAATAACTTATATATTTTATTTTTCTTGGTTTTCGGACAGTAATCTGTTCTTCCTACAGATATATCCTCCTTATATTTGTTATAAAACAACAACAACAACAACCATTATTTTGTGATTTTTTAGATAAATTAATTTGAAAAGAAAAAAAAACGTTTTTTTCAAATGGTCGATATATTTAAGTCGGCCATTGATGCAGCATTTGGTGCTGGATCAACAGCTCGTATAACAAATAATATAGGATTTGGTGGTGGAGCATTAGGACTAGGAAGCGGAGGTGTTAAAAGTGACTTCACTGGACAAATTGTTGATGTTGGAAATATACGATTAAGAGTTGGAAATCAAATAGCGGAAGGTTATTTAACTTCTTATGAAAATATTCAATTAAAACCTTGTAATTATTTTTTCAGGTGGTTATGCGTTAGTATTTATTGCTTATGATGTAAAAACAAATAAAGAATATGCATTAAAAGTAAAACAAATTTTTTTCAAAAAATAATAGACAAATATTTAATTCTTCTAGAGATTATATGCTGCGGATGATAGTGCAAAAAAAGTTATTGCACAAGAAATAACATTTCTTGTATGTATTATTTAATAGAAAAATAGTTTTTGATTATATAGAAATCTTTTTAGCAAAAATTAAATGGAGATCAACATATAGTTCCGTATATAGCAGCTGCATCAAGTCAAGATACAACATTACGTCGAACGGAATATCTTCTTGTAACGGAATATTGTGCAGGTGGTCGATTATATGAAAGAGTTGTACATCGTTCAAAACCATTAGAAGTTGAACAAGTTATACAAATATTTTATCAAATATGTCGTGCAGTTAAACATATGCATGAACAAGAACCTCCTATAATACATCGAGACTTAAAAGTTGAAAATTGCCTTTTAACATCAGCAGGTTTTATTCAGTTATGTGATTTTGGTTCAGCAACAACTAAAGTTTATTTACCTGATGAAACATGGACAGTTAAAAAACGAGATTATGTAGAAGATGAAATGACTAAAGTAACAACACCGATGTATAGAGCACCGGAAATGTTAGATACATATAATAATCATCCAATTAATGAACAAGTGGATATTTGGGTATTTTTTTTTAAATTAATTTGAATTAATTTTTGTATCAATTTTTGTTTAGGCACTTGGTTGTCTTTTATATTATCTATGTTTTATCAATCATCCATTTGAAGATTCAGCTAAATTAAGAATTCTTAATGCTAAATATACAATACCAGCTAATAATACAAGATATACTGTGCTTCATGATCTTATACGTAAGTTTTAATTGATAGATTACACATGTTTCATTCGATATGAAATTTAGTGTAACATTGTTTGATGTATTAATAATAGAAAACGGAGATTGACTATTTTCTCTACGGATATTCTTTTACTTTTATTAATAGAATCTAATGGAAGAAAAAGATAAAAGCTAATGCAAAAAAATGATTAAGCTTTTCAACCTATTCGTTTTACGAATATATAACATTAATTAATCTCTATAGTTGCTTTGCAAAATTCTATTTCGTAATATAAAGTCCGATTTGATTATTTTTTTTAATACTTGGAAAGATTTTCTAGTACATCGTATTGCGTAATGATGGTAATTTTGTTAAACATATGTATATATTTAGGTACATTATTGCAAATCGATCCTCGTCAACGACCAACAATTCATACACTTGTTGAAAATATTGAAGATTTAGCTATTGGAAATGATGTTGGTCTTAATGAACCACTTCTTTTTCTTTTTAATCCTAATGAAACATTTTCTTCAACGAGTCCTTCTAATCCTGCTGCTGCGGCTGCTGCTCCCGGCGGTGGCGGAAATACACCAACTAGTAAGAGAAAAAAAATATATTTTCATTTTTTTGCTAAAAACCCAATTTTTATTTAGTTCCACCGAGAGCAGCACCAGCTGGTGGAAGTAGTTCATCATTTAGCGCTGGTGTTAGTAGTTATATTCCATCATCAATAAAAGGTATAAATACATCGGGAAAATCATGGATGAAAAATATATTAGACACATCATCAAAAGTCATTACTGAAGGTGTTCAACAAGTTAAACAGTAATGTGTTTTGTGTATTGATAATGTATTTTTATTTACAATGAGATATGTTTATAGAACTTTAGCAACAAATGTACCAACAACTTTAACAGCAGGAACTTCACCTGGTTCTGGTCATCATTTTGAAGTTGATCTTAGTTATATTTCAACAAAAGTAATCGGTAAGTCCTACTTTCTGATCGATAGAACTTACTATTATTACAGAAATGAATTACAGCAGCTCCTTCTTACCCTATTGAGTCGAGTTATTTCATAGTATCTGCTTCTATTATATTCAAATTCATTCTTATAACCCCGCGTTGTATAGATTTAAGATGTATTCTGTCTACGATCAATATTTATAAAGAATGGGGTTCTTATCAGTATCATTCATTTCAAATCGAGATATCGTATTTCTTAACATTTAAAAATCGGATTAAGATTAGTCATCGAAAGAAATAATTACATTATTGCCTATCTGATTTTTCTTTAATCGATTGTGACAATGTATATTCTGATCTTAATCAATTATTATTACTTTATTTTGTACCGTTTCTTTTAACCTTATTATACAAGATACAATGGTATCTAAGAAATGAATATATATTTAGAGCAATCTCTCTCATTTAGAAGAAGGATATGTCCCAGGCAAAATTTGCTTTTCTCTCCGTAGAAAAATTTGAATTTTTTTTGGTCGGACGAATTAGTAACAATTGATCAAGAGAAACTTATCTTAAAATATTTTATTGCGTAGACATGATATTCGCACTATGTGAAATAATAAAACTTACTCAATCAGATAAAATTAATCATTCTACCCACCTCACTCATGAAAAAAAAAACTTTATGATCTTCTTTAAAACAGTTGTCGTTATATTTTGTTTTATACATCTGCCGCACTCTCCATTTTCCAAAACTATATTCAATTTATATTGAATACAACTTACGAACTCTTGACACAGATGATACAACATCTAATATACTTAATGTTTCAAGCCTATGACTACAATTAATATATACTTGCTTATTATCTTTATATTTTAGTAATGTCTACACCCCGCGATAATCCATCTGAAATATCGGGTCGTCAATCAGCTGAATTAATTCGTGATTTACTTGATACGAAACACTCACAATCATATATGTTATTTTCACTTGATCAACAACATCGTAATCATCCAACATACCGCAAAGAAATATTTCATAATAAAGTTTGTTGCTTTTTGTTAAATTTTATATTTATTAATCCGAATTATTCTAATCTAGGTTATTGATTTACCACTAGCTGATGAAAAACATTCACCACGTTTAATTGATGTATTATGTTTTTGTCAAAAAGTTAGTTCATTTCTGCTTGAATCACCATCAAATACAGCTGTTATTCATTGTGCTGTAAGAAATATTTTCTTTTTTTTCTTCTAATTTAAATAGAAAATCAAATTTTTAAATAGGATGGAAGAAATCAAATAGCATTTGCAGCATGTTCATTAATTGCATATCATGGAATATTTCAACAAGTTGATCATATTGTTCGATATTATGAAGCACGTCGTTGTGCACATCCTTTATTAACAATGTCACAAAAAAGGTTTTAGATTTAGATTTTTTAACGAGAGAAAACGAACTAATTTTCTTTATAGATATATCCAATATCTATGTGATTTATCATTTGGTACTATTGAAAGACCACATTTTACTGAATTAGTTATCAAAACAATTAATTTATCACCTGTACCATTATTTAATCGAGAAAGGTTTGTTTTGAAAAAAACTTTTTATCGTATATTTTGGATTTTGTTTAGAAACGGTTGTCGTCCATATATTGATGTTTTTAATCAAGATAATAAAAAGATTTTTTCAACATATCAAGATCCAAATAAACTTCGGTAAGAATCGAGATTTTCTTTCTTTTAGTTTGTATCTAAATGATTTTTCTTTAGAGTATTTACGGCAACAGATGGTGTTTGTCTTATTCCAATTAATATTCCATTTAATGGTGATCTTACAATTCATGTATTACATGCGCCAGTTGGATTATCATTTCAAGCACATGTATGTTTCGTTTTCCTATTTAATCTTGATCATTAGGATGTGGATATTGATTGAAAGAATAGACACATGCTTATTTCTACGGACGGCTTTTCAGGAGATACCTGTCCTCTGGAGACAAGTGTCTCGCATGTTTATAAGATTTTATATATTTCCAAAACGATTAATCATAAATTTCTTCTAGGATGGTGGTATTCAAATATGTCAATTAACAATTAATTCAAATTTTTGTTCTTTAAATCATTCCGAATTGTCTTATTCAAGGTAAGAATAAAAATTTAAATTCTAGGAATTTTTAATATGTATTTTTTTGTTAGATATGAACTGGATGGTATTGAACATACGGAAAAATATCCTCCGTCATTTCGTGTGACACTTGATACAACACCATCAAAGAAACCAGCATCAAATGAACAAGACATTCTTTCTAAACTATTAGATACTACACTTAAAAAACCGCAATGTTTATTTAAAGATGAAATTGAATTTCGTCAGACTATTGAAGAATATGGTAAATATATTTCTTTTTTTTATACTAACAACATAAATTTTCGAACTAAAACTTTATAGAAAAACGATATAAAATTACAAGTGGTAAGAATTTCTGTTGTATTATTTAATGTAGTCCTTTTCATTTCAATTTACAACAAAATCTACTTGATAATTTTAATATTTAGGTGATGGTTATCATTATCGTGGAACTTATACATCTGAATCTTCATCAACTATGCAATCCAATAACCTTAATATTAGTCAACCAGTTACCAATGTTAGCAATCCATCTTCACCTCAAATCAATCGTCGTGCATCTCCAACACCACAAACAAATATAGTCACTAATCCATTTCTAGAACAGCAAAATGAATCAAATCCTCCTCCATTCAAACAAGAATTACAAACGAATGATGACATAGCAGTCGGTACTCTTCTTGATATAATGGGTGATGATACAACAAATCATTTTCCATCACAACCAACTTTATTAACAAGTGCACAGAATGATTTATTTAATTTACATATGGATACTCCATCAAATTTTTCTGTACCACCACCACAACTACCATCACAATCTATAAAAACAACAGATTTACTTGGTGTAGATTTTAATTCAATGCCATTAGATAAACCAATATTACATCGAAATGCATCAGAAACAGTATTACCAGTACCTATTCAAGCAATAAATATTCATAAAACTGAAACAAAATCTTCTTCAAATCAAAATATTAATCGTTTAGATCCATTTAAAGATTTATTTGCAACATCAACAGCAACACCAACACAAAAAACATCAAGTAATGAAAGTCTTGCTGCAAAACAAGCTGCTGGTATGTATCTTAATTTCCTTGATATAGATGTCGCTTAATGTTAATGCCACTATTCATTCACCGTTCTGTTTCTCTATCAATGAGTTCAGTATATAAGGAAAGGAAAGAGTTAGATTATCGTCCTCACTTCGGTGGGACATATAATAAAATTGGAACGATACAGAGAAGATTAGCATGGCCCCTGCGCAAGGATGACACGCAAAATCGTGAAGCGTTCCATATTTTTTTTTCTATTTGGATATTTTAGCTGCAACAAAATTGCATAATACACCACCAACATCAACAACATCAATTCCAAATTATAATATTAATATAGCAAATAGACCTAATCCAACACCAACACCACCACCACCCCAACAACAGCAACAATCAAGTAAGAATTTTGAAAAGACTAGTCATTTTTCTTGACCAACAAATGAAGTAGAATAGATTTCAACTTTCTATTTTATTTATAGATCCAATGAAACCCAATCCACCACCACCATCACAAACAACAACATCGACATCAGCTCGTCCTCAAGCATCAAAACTTGATTTTGATACATTAGTTCAACAACAAGCTGGAATGTCGGATTTTGGTTCTAAAGCACGACAAGGTACAGCAGCTATTGGTGATATTCGTAAAGCTGAATTAGCTAAAGATCTTGATCCAGATGTTCTTAGAGTATGTTTGAATAATTAATATTTGAATTTATTTTTCATAAATAAAAATAGGTTCGAGAATGGACTGAAGGAAAAAAGAGAAATATTCGAGCATTATTATGTTCATTAACAAATGTAACATGGCCTGAATGTACATGGGGTGGATGTCATATGCATGATTTATTAACACCTGATCAAGTTAAAAAAGTTTATCGAAAAGCAGTACTTCATATTCATCCGGATAAAGTAAATGAAATTGATTTTAGTTTCTATATTTTATTTTATTTTTCTCATTCTAAAGCTTCGTGGTGATCCAAATGAACCCCTAGCAAAATTAATCTTTGTTGAACTTAATGAAGCATGGTCTCAATTTGAACAGGAAACAAATTAATCAATCCTTAACATTCCTTTGTCTTCTTTTTTCCTATATTTTATTTTAAGCGTTGTGCAATTCATATGTATTCATAGTGTAACCTAATTAAAAAAATACAAGAAAAATATAGAAATTTCTTCTCATTTTAATTCTCAATATTTTTACCAACTGACTGTGTTCGTTTGTGTATAATTATATATTTCCATTAATCTTTTTCCTTCTTTTTTTTCTGTTGCATATTAAGAGAAAAAAAAAACAATAAAATCCAATGACTGAAATGATTATTTGATTTTCAATGTTTTTTTGCTCTCTGTTAGAATCGACTTGTACGGCGTAATATGAGTCATACTCATGTGACATATAGATATTACTAATGTTGAATATTTATTGTATCTGATCTTATGCGTAGCGCGTATATATAACTCAAATGATGAATTTTTATCTTTAGCTTATACGATAGGCTGATTATCTGATACAAATACTTATAAAAACAAGACAAGTATCAATTAATTACGACTCCAGATCGGATAAAATGGAATATATATATATACATGACACATACTTACATTTCTTTGGTTTTTTGCTCTAAACTTCAGGCTTATCGATTCTAAAATAAGATAACTGCCATCAACGTTCTTTTTATTTCTCACTATGATATATCTATTGAATAATTGACAAAATTTATTCGTTTAATATATTTAAATGATTAAAGTAAAAATCTATATAAACGATATAGATAAACTCTTGAAAAATGAATACAAAATAGTACATTGGAGATGAAAAAGAAAATATTTTTATATAGTCAATATAAAATTTGAATTGTTTATTTTAACGCATTTGTGATGCTGCACCAAGACTACCGAAAAGTCCGACACGTTCTCGACTACCGGATCGTTGTTTGGGTGGTAAAATATTATCATAATTAATTTCAGAATTATTTCGTGCAACGACATCGACTGATTGAGCTTTTTTAAATGGATTACGAACTTTTTGTCCTGAACTAAAATTAAATGGTGCGGCTTGTTCTTGTTTAGGTGCAGTTAAACCTTTAATTGCATCTTCTAATGCTGTAAGTTTAGTTTCAAGTTCTTTTATTTGTATACGTGATTTCATATCACGATCTTTTAATTTAACATTTTCACTTTCTAATAATTCACATCGTTGACTAAGACAATCGATAGGTGTATGATCAAGTTCTTGTTTTTTAAATAATTTGCTTTTACATATACGACATAAATATGAAGGATTATCAGTTCCAGTATTAATTATAGTATACGATGAATTCACAGTACCAACAGAATCACGTGGAATAGTAACACTAATAGAATTACGTGGAGTAGAATTTGTTTCACTCAATGGGCCATATGGTATTTCACTCATATCTAACAAATCACATAAATGTTATGTTGTTTTATTTTCGTATCTATTTGATTTATTTCGTTGTATGTATTATTTGGTCAAGGATAAAAAATAACACAATAAATCTGAATATATATATGCGAGATATTATATTATAAATAGCAAGGCTATTATATCTCCTCTGAAGCGTATAATATACATTTTCGCGCTTTTTTAACTTCAGATAAATGTAAATTAAAAAAATATTTTTGCTTTTCTTATTCATGACAAAACAAAATATCCGTCGATATGATTTATTTATGATCGACGTCAATAACCTAATATTATGTATTTACATTATATAATCCAGAGGTTGAAGAACAGAGATTGTGTTTAATTTATATACATACAAAAACATATTTATGTTGAATATTGTATATATACAGATACGGGAATATGACGCAAAGTAAAAAGTGGAGGTGCGCATCTCATAGGCGGCACATCTCTGATTGAATAAACTGTTGTGTTCATTATTTCCGTTCGTTATTGTAATAAAAATTGATATTTACCTTTGAACTTGTTTTTTTTATGTTGAATATAACAATCAGATTAGAAAAGGTGCAGAATTATTGTTGATTCGCGTAGATTTTAAAAAAGGTGGAAAATAGAATAATAATTTAGAATTATTCTTTATTCTGCGAAAAAAAATCAGCTCATTTGTTTGAAATACAATGAAGATATCCAATTCTAAACGTCTGTTTTTTGATTTACTAAATATCCATTATACATATATTTCTTCCAAAAGGTGTCAGTGGATATCGATTATTATAGCCATTGATATGACCATTAGTTTAAAGAGGAAAAATTACGCATTAACAATTTGATATAAATTTTTGTCTATTTTCCAATCAAGTTATTGTCAATAACTAAATCAGTATTTCTAAAAGTAAGGTTTCAATATGGGAGCAAAGTCTCCAAGATTTTTACTTATTTTGATTTATACTTCATGTACACTTTGTGAGAATAATTCATACATTCCTTAATTCATTTAAATATTTTCAGTTTATTTGATGAACCATATCTGTGCTATCTAGATTAAAAAACAGATTCAGAATGAAATGAAAACTATATTAACTTTTTTTTTGGATATGGTCCTATTTTACTTTGTAATACATTACTCGACAAAACAAAGTATCACCTGACATTTTTGTTCGCAATAACAAAACTTTTTGTTTCAAATTTATATTGAAGAGTAATTTTTAGATAAGATGGTTTCTATATTGAGATTAAAAACTAATGAATAAAAAAGATTGTCTTGGATTAATTTTAATTTTTTTTATTTTTATTATTATTGTTATTAATATATTTGGAAGAAATATGACATCAAAAACTGAATTATCTGCTCCTGAACATATTCAAGAATTAATACATAAATATCCGGTTGTAATTTTTTCCAAATCATCATGTCCTTATTGTCACAAAGCAAAAAATGTTTTAAAAAAATATAAATTAGATGATAAATATTATGTTCTTGAACTTAATGAATTATCAAATGCAGATGAATATCAAAATGAATTAAAAAAATTAACGGAAGATCGAACTGTTCCAAGAATATTTATCGGAGGAAAATGTATTGGTGATGAAGAAGATCTTGAAAATTTAGAAAAAGATGGTGAATTAAAACGGTTATTAAAAGAACATAAAGCAATTGAAGATATATAAACAAAACAATATTTTTTGTAATCAAGCATTGTTAAAAAATAAATTCTAGCTACGATACTCTACAAAATATCTAGATCAATATTTCGAAGAATAATCAATTGAGACAATGAATTTCAAGATATACTTTCTACTCTTTTCCTTTAAATTTCGGACTAATTTACGGATGCGCAGTTTCAGTGCAAATACTGTAAAACTGTCACTGTCAGTACTGTGGGCACTGAAGCACCGAATTTTACTGATATGCATAAACCTAGGAAGTCAGTATAAAGCGGTTTACGTCGGCGCAGCAGTGTTGCGGTGCACCCACTGCCAGTGAAGTCAGTGCTTCAGTGACCAAATGACGGCGCTACCAGTATTCAGTAAACTGAAACTGCGCATCCTTAGACTAATTCAATATACAAAAATCTGGATATATTCATATCAAATAAAATCATTTATTTTATTTAAACATGATTCAATATTTATTATTATACATCCCATGTACTACTTTTACGATCATCATAATCTCTCTTATATGCATTTCGATGATTACATCGTACATATAAAAATGCTATAATAGCCAATGCGATTACACCAATAAATACTAACATAATTGTAGTATTTCTAAAAAATAATTGTAAAATAAAAAAATGAAAAATTTATTAATTCATACGGTGACATTGATGTTGAACATTTCTTAAGATTTTCATTATCATCATTCATAATATCAGATGAAAATGTTGTAAGATGACGAGGAACATTACGTTCAAATGCATATCTTTGTTGTAAACATATGGGTGATAGTTCATCATTAGGACAATAATATGGTTTAGTACCACATAGAGGTGGTTGACAATTCGGATTGATTGTTGTTGGAGGTACTGTTTTTATACATATTAATAATAATTGTGAGAATATGGAAAAAACTTACAAGTCGTGCTTTTGCCGATAAATTTATTAAATACAGGAGCAACCTGTTCTACTACCCCTCCTATGAAAGTCACTACTGTCGAAAGCATATTCAATAGGGTAGTGAAAGCCGACATTATAATCAATTTGTGTATCGTAAAACAAATTCGAAATCACAATACGATCGATAGTTCAAAGAAAAAAAAATTTATTGAAAATGAAACTATTCGAAGCGCTTAATTTTAATATAAATTGTAACTAGATTAATAGCCAAGTCTTTTTTTCTTTCAATTGACTGATATATACATGTAACTAGAGAATGATTCATATAAAAAATCTTTTCAAACTATTCTAATATTATCATGATGATAAAATCGATAGGATATTTTTTAAATATTGATAAGATCAATAACCATGATGTCAATGATATTTCATGAAGAATATCAAGATAATAAAATAAAAAAATATATGAAGGCAATAATTTTTCAATTAGTCACAAATAGAATGATTTTATAACAAAATGTACACAGTATAATTTCTGAAAAAAATTACATTAACATATCCGTTTCTATATTGTTTTCAATCTCTTTTACATATTGATTTATGACCTTCTCACAAGTGTTGCACAGATTCTGTATATCTCAGATGAAACGAATTGAATGGGATTTCGAAAGATGCGCACGAACGTTTGAATGAGATTGAAAGAGTTCGTTTTGTTTCCAAACTCTCGTGCGCATTTTTCGTATACCCGAATTGAACATAAAACAAATTTTTCAGTTAATAAGTCTATGTAATTGAAGTAGAAATAACGGCTGAGAATGAAGATATATTTATTGAAGAGAATATTGATTTAACAGAAGGAGATCAATTTTAAACTAAACATACAGAAGTAAGTCAAAAATATTGTATCAGCGATTAACACTACTCTCAAGTTATTAGATTTTAAAAACATCACGTATTCTTATAATATCGACGCAATTTCAATGATCATTTTCTTTTTCGTATCTAATGATGATTCATCAAGTAATTTGAATAAGATAAATTTTATTATATTACTAACCTTACATGTAATGTGTCCTTTAATGTCTAATGCCTAAAGAAAAGATATCACTACTTGATAATATTCGTATGATAAATAAAGAATAACAAAATAAAAGACATAAAGACCTTACATATTTATTATCAAAGGACAAAACATAAGATAGAAAAGAAAGTACAAATATCAAAGGTTTTTAATTTATTTTAGATGGTCCTTCATATAATAAATTCATCTGAAGTACGTCCTGGTGATCATTTATATCGATATCGATTATTTAACGTACAACAAGGTATTGCTGTTCAATGTCCAACATTAAAATCAATTTTTGTTCTTACATCATATAAAAATACGCTACGACTTGTTAGTTTAAATGAATTTAAAAGAAAAAGTTGTTTAAGACGTGTTATTTATAATGGAAATTGTAGTTGTATAAAAAAAGTTAAATATTTACATAATCGACCACCTGAAGAAATCGTTAAAAATGCATTATTACTTCTTGATTGGATTAAAACTTCACCTGATAATGTACGAAAATTATTTTCTAATGATTTATCACAATTTGCTCAAAAATGTTGTACAACAGTTCATGAACAATGGTGTAATCTGTTTTATTCAACTTATGAACAAATATCATTAAAGAAACATTTTTTCGATAAAAGTAATTTCAAAGATAAGAAATGTATTTCGAATCTTTCGTTTTCCTTTTTTAGAACAAATATCAAGTAATAGTAATAATGCATTTAATGCTGCACTTATGTGTGGAATGCCATTTCGTCAAGCTTCACAAATTGGAAAGAATGACTTTTGGATCGAGAAAAATGATGAAATTGATTTATTACAAACTACTGAAAGTATGATTACATATTTTCTTATTGAAAAAAAAGAACAAGAAGATATATATGTATGTAAAACTATACTTTTTTTAGATTCCAACGATCAGTTATTAACACTCTCAAAAACTACTTCAGATGAACCTATGATATTCTCTTCAACACTTATGGAATTTTCATCAGACGAAGATATTTCTCTGATTTAATTTTCAAAAATCTAATAAATATGAACGGCACTCGCATTTTCTTCATATTCTGAATAGATATGAATGCTTGTTGTTAATATCTATGTCTAAGCTTCTTTTATCAAAAAGTGATGAAGTTTTTTCGTTTGCTAAAATATCAGAACTACGGGCTATATGCATAATTTCTTTAGTATTGTGAAATTTGTACTATATTGGAGATATATAGAGTGAATAGAATAATTTGATCATTAACCTTTTGAGTTCCGGCCATGTAAATATACGTCTTGATGTCATACATTGTTTCTTTCTGCTTGAAATAATTAGAAGAGATTCTCCTATTCATCTGACTGCTCGATATTTTCCTTTGCTCATTCCACAAACATCACAATCTTCATCGAAATACATCGTTTGTACATCCCCATAGTATTCGGCCTGATACACGATATATTTATTCAGATTGCAGTATAATTTAAAGTAAGATCATTTAATAACACAATCTTCTCTCATACTACTCTCCATCGAATTCGCTATCTTTCCTTCAAGGCCGAAATCAATTAAAATATATGTACGAACGTTTCTTTTATTTTTTAAACAAACATTTTAATAATAATATATTTCCAACGAAAAATATAACGGATATTTATATAAAAATAATCAACATATTTTCGTTAATAATAAATCAACAACAAGATGATCTAAATGTGGTCCGTATGGTTTCACTCGTTCAATATGTTCTATTTCACATTGATAAGTATTTTGATTCTGATGAATATCATTCATTATTGTTTCAAAACGTTGTCGAACTTTTTCACTCCATTGTTCATGTGTTTCTTCTTTTGTATTTCCAACACCATGTACATGAATACGACCACCTTTAGATTGAAGAGCTCGACATGCAATAGTCCAACTTGGTTCAGATGATGGAATTAAACCAAGATTACATCGATCAGCTACACCAACAGGACATGTCTATAAAAGCAAATGAATAAATAATTTTATAAAATTTCAAAATCTACCAATTGATTATCTCCTAATAAAAGCGTATAACGATCTTCATCAATATAATTTGCTTGCAGATTACGACGAAGTGCTTCCATAGAATCTGGATTCCATTCACATCCATACACATGTTTTGCATGACCATGAACAAGAAATGGAAGTGTAAAATATCCAACTCCAACATAAAGATCTACAATGATTTCATTCGCACAATTAACTTGTCCCATTCTCATTCGTTCTGTAACATTTCCAGCACAAAACATACTTTTATCGACATTATATGAAAATCTAAAATCATATTATATTTTTTCCTATGAATAAAAATCAAAATTAAACTAACCTACTTTATACCATTTTCAACTAAATGTATCCATGGATCATTTCCTAATACTAATCGTGTAGTTGGTGATCGAAAATCATCATTCTTAATAGCACCTTCGAAAGCAATACGTTTAATTGATGATCCAAATGCACGAGCAACAGTTGTCCAAAATTGTTCCGATGCTAAAAAGAATTATTATTTTTTTACTTCTAAAACAAAACGATAACAACTAACGAATGTGATTTAACCATCGAGAATCAAGAAAACAACGAGATGAAGGAAGAAGAAGCATATCTCCATGTACACGCCATTTTCGTGGAATATCATTTGATAATTGTTCATCCCATATTAAGCCATGTTCATTACAAAGAATTTGAAGACTATTAATAAGTTTTGCACGAGGTGAAGTCATATCTAAAATGAGATTGAACACTTTTAGTGTAAAGATGATTTTAATTTTGTTTTCAGTAAAATAATGAGATCACAAAAAAAATTAAGGATTTAAAAAAAAATATCTTTTTCATTCAGTTAATCATGCCATTGAGCACCCAATGCGTAAGAAATAAATGAATATGTATCGGCTATTTCTTCAATTCGTTTAATTGTTGGTTTACCCGCACCTAAACGAAAGTAATATGTCACAAATAAAATATTTTCTATTTATTTATAAAGAAAAATTACCATGTCCAGCTCGAACATCAATTCGAACGATTAATGGACGACCTAAACGATTCATTGTTTCACCTAATTGATATTGTAATTGTGCTGCATATTTAAAAGAATGTGCTGGCACAACGCGATCATCATGATCACCTGTTGTCATAAGAATTGCCGGATATGTTTTTGGATCTTTTGGAATATTATGTAATGGTGATATTGATTTAACCCATTCAAATTCTTCAGATATATCAGGATTACCAAATTCGCCACACCAATAATATCCAATAGTAAATTTATGATATCGATATAAATCAAGTACACCAACTTGAATAATAACATTAGCAAATAAATCTGGTCGCATATTAGCACAAGCTGCTACAGTTAATCCTCCATTGCTACCACCTGCTATAGAAACTTTATTTGATTGAGTATATTTTTCTGAAATAAGCCATTCAGCACAAGCATTTAAATCATGATAAGTATTGATTTTTTTAGATTTATAACCATCCCTATGCCATGCTTCACCATATTCAGCACCACCTCTGACATTAGCTACAGCAAAGATTCCATGAAAATGATATATCCATAGAAGTGCACCAATAGAAAAAAATGGTTTCATTGCATGTGAAAAACCACCATAAACATAGATATGTGTTGGATTGTCACCAGTTTTTTGTAAATTTTTTCGATGAACTAAAAACATTGGAACTTTAACTGGATTTGATGGATCTAATCCAGCTGAATCGACAAAAACTTGTTCAGTTATTAATTCATTCAGATCAATGCCTTGAAATTCAATTTGTTTGAAAAGTGTTAACGGAGCATCAAGTGAGTCAGCAAGATCGCATATATAAATTATTGTTGGAGAGAGAAATGATTCGAGACGAACAAATATTTCTGATTCATGTTGATCACCCCTTAAAAATAAAAATAAATTATTTTTCATTATATTCAACAGTAGAACGTTCGAAATCTACAATAAATTTATCATTCTTTTAGAAAATTCTCTATTTAATAGTTTAAACACAGCAACATTGTGATACATGTTTTTCTTCTATTATAAAAAAATTGCTATTTTTTTCTTTGAATATTCTTCCTTTATCGGATGCAGATAATCGAATTGTAATCTTGATATTAATCTAATAACGATCTATCGAAAAGTGTTTGCCAAGGGGGAAACGACAAATTGCAAGAATCTTGGACCCCGCAGTTTCCACGGAACTCCAGGACTCCGCGACTCTGATATCTGAGACTTCAAAAAACTCCAAAGGGCCCCGAGCGACTCTGTGATCCTGAAGTACAGGATTCCGAAGGACTTTAAAAAGCACTCCAAGGGCACCAAAGAATTTCCATCTGCCGTTTCTCCCTTGATGTTTGACCATTTTTAATTCTTTCTAGAGTACTCTAGAGGAGCGAAAAGCTATAGGTTATGACCAGAATTGTAGACTCTTTCTGAATATGAGCTCAGAAATGATGTATCTGTTTTTTTTTGCCCGAGAATAGCGAGGAAATCTTCGAAAGGCATAAAAAGATAATTTGGCAGGGGAATTTTCCTATATCTACAATGGTAAACAAACCTATCAAATTAAATCATTTCTGGCATCTTTGTACAAAAACTTACAGAGATCTCAAATGTCTATTTGGTCACTACTTATATCAATTTTTCAAGACGTGCAAAAATTTTCGAGTGAAAACCGGTATAAGTCCTTATTCAGAAACAGCACAAAATTCTGATTTTCACCTCTACTTTTTTAATTGTCCGGAATACTTTAATAGATCATTAATGATCATCTATTCAACAGACTAATGAATACTATTCCTTTTACCCGAAGAAGAACTAATCATAATCTAACACGAGTGATAGTCATTATTAATTTTTGTTCTTACCAAACAGAAATAGTTCCAATTGGTAAATCAAATTTTCGTAATTGTTTTCCACTTTCCATATCATATAAATATAAAATTGATTTAACATCTGCTAAATATCGAACAACAAAATATTTTTCATAAACACGTGTTACATCTTCTAATATATTATGTTTATCTTCGCTGATAATTTCTTTAATTTCTTTTGTTTTTATATTTATTGAAATAAGACGAAAATTTTGAGCTTGTGCAGTTGTTCGAAAATAAAGTAAATCACCTTGTGATGTAACAAAATCATAAACAAAATCCATATTATCAATTAATTTCAACCAATTTGGTTGTTCAACAATTGAATCAGATAAATTCAATAATGGTAATATCCAAACTTTACTTTCCCGTAATGTACCTTTAGTTACATCAGCAATTAAATATTGTCCATCATCAGATGTTTCAACTGAAAAGAAATGTTCATTAAGATCATCTACACATCGTGCAATACATATATCTGATGAACGAGGTGTACCAATTCGATGAAAATAAACTTCTTGAATATCTGTACGATTAACTTCAATTACTGTCTAGAAACAAAAAAAATTCTTTTTAGTTTAAGTAAAGAAGACATAAATATCTAATAATTACTTCGCCATTCTTTTCTCCTTTATTTGTCGAAGTAGATGAATCATTATCTGACGTTATATTATCATTCGCACCAGCATATGTTGCATAAAAAATACCACGACTATCTGTTGTCCAACGTAATGATGAAAATTTTGTTCGAGTTATAACATCATCTAATTTTTTTCGTGATGCAATATCCATAAAATAGATTGTTGACCAATCTGAACCAGCATCAGATACACTATAACACAAGGTTTTTCCATCAAAGGAAAAATTTAATGATTGAATTGCAACTGTACCATCTTTAGAAAATGTATTTGGATCAAGTAAAATTTGACTTTCATCAGTTGACTTTTTTAATGAATCTAATTCATAATAGATATCTTGATTTTGAAGACCTGTATTCATAAAATAATAATATTTTCCATTCGGTTGTTTTGATGGACAAGAAAATTTTGGAATATTAAATAATTCTTTAAGATGTTCAAAAAATTTTGTACGATAAGGAATTTTATTTAAATAATCTTCACTTATTACATTTTGTTGTGAAACAAATTCAGTAGTTTCTTTCGAATCAGGATCTTCAAGCCAACGATATGCATCATTAATAGTTATAGTAGATGAAGATTTATCAGTATATGTATCTAATACAGATAAATCACGACGTACGGATGGATAAGTAATAGTTGATGACATATCTGAAATTTCACACAAAGTGTATAACATGATTAATCCATTGATAGATCGCATGGAGAAGAAAATATCTTTTTCAAGGAGGAAAAAACTGATTTAAATCAAACTTAAATCATATAAAAGATCAGTTTTTATGATTTAAATGATCTGAAAATCAAAATTAAATCATATAAATCACAGATTGCTTTTTCCCTTTACTATAACCCATACATATTGGTAGGGAAATAATAATCTTACACCAGTGTAAAGTCATGTTGTCGAACTTGATTTACGCGAGTTTTAAATCAATTTAAATCACAAAAATCATCTTAACTCATTTTAAATCATAAATCGCTTTTTCCCCCTTGATATTTTCCTTAGATAGGAGATGATGCAGAATGTGTCATCTGTCCTATCTTCGGTACTTTTCGATGTTTCTCGTTAGAACAATGAGACCACAAAAAATGTGTGCTATAATTTTTTTGTCGCGATACTTACTACTCTCGTAATAGTTAGAGCAATATAGACAAACACTATGCGCAAATCCTTTGTTAATTGATTAAATGATAAAGGAGATTGATTGAGATTATTAAAAATAATTCATTAATCAAAGATACGACAAGTATCATATAAATATTGATTAGTAATAAGGTGTGAATCAAGATCAGAAGTTCAGTGAGTAATGTGAACGCAATTATATGATTCAAATTAAAAAAAGTTCTAATTATTTCTATGATCTGATATATATTTATTTTTACTTCTTGTGCACAAGAAATGTATTGATGTTATCGATAAAATTAAAAAAAACATGACTTCTCTCGAAAGTTAGCGTTCTATAGAGAAAAGGACTGAATCATAATCAATCAAGACTTATCATAAATGTATTCACTATATATATTTGATCTTATTCTATGATAATTCATATGTCTGAAATAAACGAGATAATATTTTTATTTTTCTATTAAATTAAAAAAACAATATGTTTAAGAATTTATTTGTTTTAAATAAGTCCAAGTAGAAAAAGAAAAAGAAGAAGAATGTAGCATCTAAATCTTTCACAGCGAGAAAGACAAGAATTATATCAGTTAAGATTACTATATACAAAAAAATAATGCACAGAGTTCAATGTTTTTATTCAGTATGCTCATGTTGTTTTTTTTTAAATAAACGTTGAACAAGAGCATGACGAGAAGCTCTTAAGCGAAATTTCAGATCTTCTAAACGTTGTCGAAATGGAATTTTTGGACGTTTTTCACCAAAACCAAATTCTTTTGTCGTTAAATTATGTAAACCACCAAAGGCAAGTGCAACAGCAGTACAACCCAAACAAATCACATTAAATGGCATACTAAAATCAGGTGTTGGAAGATTTACAAGTAAAGATTCTGAATAGACTCGAACAAAACCATCGAATGATGACGATGAAAGACTAAATTTGAGATAAATAGAAGAAATAATTCATAATACAAAAAATATTTTACCTTTGATTTAAAGAAAATGAATTAAGTGATCGAAGAATATAATTTGATTTTGATGGTAGATATGTTGATACAACAGCACTTGGAATATAAAATCCATGATTTGGATCCGGTGGAAATTCATTCCATTTTAAAAATGCCATTTCAAATTCAAAACTAATTATAATTGATTGTTGAGTTTTAACTACTAATTCTAATTGATAAGATCGTTGACGATCTTTACCAGGTATATATGATATATGTTCTAAATAACAATTTGTAGGAAAAGAAATAAATAAAAAATGTTTTTTACCAGGTTTTATTTCAATACTATTATCATCAAGTGTGGTTATTTTAAGTGTATGTAGAAAAACGCGAAAATACCATGGAATTTGTTCGAAATAAAGTAATGTAATTTGTTCAGTTTGATCTTGTTCATTAAGTTTTATCACAGTTTTAATACCACCATCACGAGCACCATAACCTAATAAATAGAAATCAGTTTTTTGTTCACTATCAGATGAAGGTACATAGTAAAAGATTTTATTGCCTTACCAGTAGCATATCGATGAACCATAATAGAGGGTAATGAATTGTTATTTTGATTATCAGTCGAAGATATTTGTTGTTGTTTATTATAATTACAACTCATTAAGAATGTTGTACCTTTTCGTTTTTCATTATGTAAATCATAAACAATAATTGGAGTTTGTCCTTGCTTAATTGTATAATCTGGCTCAGGACTTATATTAAATGTATGTGTCTATAAAAGAAAATAAAGTTTATTATATTTCAATAAAAATGAATAGTTCGATATATACTGAAGATAATTGTAAATCAACATAAATATTCGTAAGTGAACTAAGTGGACATGATTGTGCTATATTTGAACCAAAAATTGAACGAAATGTCCATTCTAAATAAAGCAGAATAAGGTTAAGAAGAAAAAAAATTCTAACAAACCATTATAATTTGGTTTTGATGTCGCTGTATCAACAACAATAGCTAAGCCCATAGATAATTCAAGTTGAGTTAATGTACATTCAGTATTCTTCAAGTAAAAAATATAAAACAAAATTTTGAAATCTTTATCGTAATACTTACAGCACATATTTGTCTTAAATCCATTCGAAGTGAATGATAAGCACTATGATGTAATTTTGGTGCATTATCAAGTAATCCTGCAAGACCTTTATGATTTGAACCACCAGCGACGCATGGTAATAGTTTTTTCCATGGTGTTAAATTTTCTATAATAAAACAAAAAATTTAATATTGAAATTTTTATTGAAAGAAAAAAACGTTATTAACCAGTGCAAACAATTTCTCGTGGTAAAACTGCATATCGAAGTAATGAATTATCTAATTTGAAAGTTTTTGATTTAGGTACTATTGATTGAGGTCGAAAGGAATGATGTGGTGAACTTGAACTCACATTGGAATCAACAAAATTAAGAGATGCACATAGAAGACCACCTAATTCATGTGCGAATGATGTCCAACGAGATGATACACTAAAATAGAGTAATCTTTGTAATGTTTAATATATTATATTTTTGTAAATGATCGCTAATTTAATAGATGCTGTTCTCTCTGACTTTATTCTTATGAAATCTTACTCTTTTTCTTCATCTTGATTAAACCATGCCCAAACTTCTGCACCTGGTGGTGCCCCAACAATTGGCATACCCCATCGATCATATCGCCATAAACCTTGTGTTAATGAAACATGAAATTCACTAACACCATTTGAACGAACAACATCAGCAATTACTTTTGGAAATAAATGATAATGATGAACTATTAAATAAATAGAATTATAGGACACGATTAAATTTCTTTGCTAAACTTACTAATGTTTGATTTAAGAATATCAGATGAAACAACAGTTGTAAATAAAAGATTGAAATATGTATGACCACTTGCTAAAGGACGGATATATAATTCTTCTTTATATATATCTTCATTTGATGAACAATAATGTATAACAAGAAGAAAAGTAGTAGAATATATTAATTGCATGAGATACATATCTACAATGTAAATTCTTCTAAAAAAAATTTCTCAGGTGTGAATCACCATGATCTTTATTCGTTTCTATAGCGGAAAGAAGAAAACGCACAACAACATAAGTAACTAAGGACATGGTTGAGCGTATAAAAAAAAGAGAGTATAGGGATCATATATGAAAGAAAAAGAAAAAAGTTAATTCTACACCATGATTGAATTGAACTGTTATGTTGTTGGTTTCATTTATTTTTTCCATGTACCTAGAAAATTAAATTAATCAATCAAAAAACAAAATTCAATAGAAAGAATTTTAAACTAACCAGTTTCATAATCCCATTTCGATGCCAATCCTGTCATTGGACCTTGTCGAGCAGCAATATGATATTCTAATTGTTTCTTCAATTTTGCGTCTTTCATACTATCTGGTCCTTCAAAACGATAACCTAAAATGATTTCAAATTTTTTATTTCAAATATCAAATTAATAGAAAGAAAATGATTACGTACAGATACGTCTCCATCCATCATAAGCTAAAGTTGCACCTGCTATAGAAAGTAAAGTCCATCCAATTGCCCATTTCCAAATACCAGTTGGAGCAGTAAATTCTTCAAATGTTTGACGAAAACTTGATCGATATACTACAAATCAAAAAGATATATTATTATTCAGTTAAATATAGAAATTAAATCATACATTGTTTCTTTTCTGCAGTTGATAATTGTTTCCAATCACCTTTTTCTTTCTTTCTTAATTCAGCAATTGCTGGTGAATCAGCTTCCCAACGAATACTTGGACAAGGAAACATAACCAAGTCAAAATATTCAGGTTTACCTTTTAAACCATAACCAACTATTTCACGATTACCAATACGTGGATGCATTCGCATACGGTCAGCATCTATTTGTGGTGCTGGTTTTCGATTATCTAATACTACGGGATTATTTTGAACAACAGTAGCACTTGATGATGTTGAAGCTTCGGCACGACATTGATGTTGAAGTAAAGAAGCTAATTGTGGTTGACTTAACTTTACTTGTCGAAGAAGAAAACCACTCATTCTAAGTTCTTTTAATTAAATATTGATCTAAATTTAATGAAAATATCGAAGTGGTTTCGAAAAAAAAATAAAATAAACAATAATAACAACAATAACGACATCAGGTACGTACATATATCTTGCTCTTACATTTTTATTGGTTATTTAGTATCAACGAATCAAATTATATAGAATAGCCTTTACGAAAAATTTTAGTCAAATATATTTAATATAAGATGAGAAATAAATTTGAATCCAAGGAAATTTTTTTTTCGTTTTATTTTTGAATAAATATTAGAAAAATCTAAAAATCTATTTATTTATAATATAAAATTGAGAAAGGTTTGAAAAAAAATTTTCATTGAGCTATTGACTCTCATTTTATTCTTTCTAACTCATTCATCCGAAGAGAAAGAAAGAAAGAATAAAGTAAACAGTCAGAAAATGACACATAAATTTCACCTTCAACGTCTGTTATTGTTTATTTTTTAGATAAATATCATGAAAACGTACTTTCTAATTCCTATCTTATTATTCTCATATATAAATTATTCTTCAACTACACTCGTTGATGGAATAGTAACATTATCATGGTCATTATCTGGTTCATCTCCAGTTATAGATCGTTTTCTGACTAGTAATACACAAATTCAATTAAAACTTTTATGTCGAGAACCAACCACAAATACAAATCAAACAGAAGCAGAAATACGAAAAAGTTTAAGTTCAATTTATGATAAAATAAAAATAAAAATAAGTGGCCGAATTGGCCGAATTGTTGGTTGTTTACCATTACAATCTGATGCATTCATGACATCAAATAAAATGCCATCAAAAGATGCTAAAGAAACACGAAATATGTTACAAACATTTTATGAAGAATTATGGAAAGAAATGGAAATAAGAACATTCGTTATGGAAGCAGCTGACTGTGATTTTGCTGGACAATTAGATGTTAATCAATATACCAATATGACTGGACCAGAAATTTCACCAGAAAAAGCTCAAGAATTACGAAAAAAAATGTTTGAACCAGCTGATGATGATATACAACAAAAAAGTAAATTGAAATAATATTTTTTTTGTTCAAACGTTTTTCTTTTTAGAAAATAACATAGTTCGTCGCCGTCGTGCTGATGATACTAAAACTGAAAAGAAACAATCTATATTAGCAGCTGCTCTAAGTAAAAAAACCGATAAAAAGTTACGTACATGGACCGATGGATATTATTTTATTGAAATTAATGAACCTGAATTTGTTGATGGAAAAACAGTTGACCTTGATGTTGATGTTATTGTAGCTATGAAAAATCGTCATGGTGGATATATAACAGCTGATGAATATCCAGCATTAGTTTTTTATGGTGTTATGTGTGGTATCTATGGTTTATTTGCTATATTATGGTGTATTTGGTGTGCATTCTATTGGAGAGAATTACTTAAAATACAATTCTGGATTGCTGGTGTTATTGTTCTTGGTATTATTGAGAAATCAGCATTCATAGCTGAATATGATATGGTTAATCGTACTGGGTAAATAAAAAAACAATTTCAAAATTTTAATATTATTTTATTTTTTTAGATATAAAGTACATTTTGCAATTGTTACAGCTGAAGTTCTTTCATGTTTAAAACGTAGTGTATCACGTATGCTTGTTATTGTTGTTGCACTTGGTTATGGAATCGTTAAGCCACGTTTAGGAGCATTAAAACAAAAAGTTTTCGGTATGGGTTTACTTTATTTTGGTATTGCTACAACAGAAGCAATATTACGTTTAAATACAAAAAATGATGAAGCGAATAATAAAGTTGTTATATCACGTATACCATTAGCTGTTATTGATGCAACAATTTATTATTGGATATTTACTGGTTTAGTTACAACAACACGAACATTACGTTTAAGAAAAAATATTGTTAAATTAAATGTTTATCGACATTTTACAAATACATTAATATTTGCTATTGTTGCAAGTTTATTATTTATGATTTGGTCATTAAAATCACATTTTTTTACGCAATGTGTTAAGAATTGGAGAGAATTTTGGGTAAAAATTATTTTATTGAAATTTTTTTTTAATTATTTCTTTTTCAAATAGGTTGATGATGCATTTTGGCATATATTATTTTCTTTAATTCTTCTTGTTATTATGTTCTTATTTCGACCATCAAATAATAATCAACGTTATGCTTTCGTTCCATTACTTGATCAATCAGATAATGATGATAATGAATTCGATGATGATGATGAGGAAAAAGGTAAAAATATAAATAGATCTTTCTTTCCGTAGTCTATAAAATTAAAAAGGTTCTTTCATCTGCATAAGTATCGATTGTGTTTTTTAAAGGACAACATGTTCTTTAGTAGACCCTACCGATAAAAACGTTCTTTATGAGTTATTTCGTAAACGAAAATCGATATCTAGAAAATGTAAATTATTCTCTTTCTAATAGAGAAGAGTCTAGTAAACATAAATTGTCTGTCCGCAGGGTCAAAAAAACATCGGAAATCGATTTTTCGAAGAAGACATTTCTAGAGGTATTTCGATGCGAGGAGTTCGAATCTGAGGTCTGTTGGGTGGCCATTCGGGAGGCAGAGGTCAAAACAACATCGAAGTCCGATTTTCAGTTATTTTTCCAGTGAATGTGAAGACGATACATTTTCTACGAGAAAGAGCTAAGCGAGTCCTCGGACAAGCGTTACTTGTTTTAAACCAAAGATCCTTGTTCGATAGTGTAGATTGCGACTAATAATTCTTAATTATTGTTTTAGAATCAGCTATTTTTGATTCGGTAACTATGCGTAAAGCAACAAATGTTGAAAGTGGTACTACACCAAAAAATAAAAAACAACAACAAGCATTTTTGAATCGCGAAGCTAATGTATCAGGAGGTGCAACTGGTCAAGGTGCTGTCGAAGATGCTTTAACATGGGTAGAAGATAATATTCCAACATCAATTGCTGATCAAGCATTACAAGCATTAGATAGTGAAGATGAAATTGTTAATACTAAATTAGAACGATCAAAAATGCAGTAATTAAGACAATTCTTTCAAACTTACGTGACAATTAGAAACTTATAAATATACATATTTATTTTTATTTGTCTGTGGCTTGTCTCATAATCATTGGTGTTCACTGGTTCTTTTTTTTCCTCTTCTTCTGCTTCTTCTTCTTCATTCATATTTAATTTATTCATGCGTATATAAGTATCTCAGTTTTGGTGTGCATAGATAACCTACTAACATATGTTTTTCTTCATTGTTTGTCAATTTCTCTTCTTTTATTATAAGTACAAAATTTTTTACAAAGAGTTTCTTTTCTCATTCGCTTACGAAATAAATATATCGTAATAAAATCTTTCTATTAAAATAATTAAATGCAATTTAATATATATGACATGAACGATATTCTCTTGATTAACAAATTTGTTGTCTTCAAAAAAATTCTAATTAAATGACTAAGCTCTCTATGATTCTATTTTTGATATACGGAAAACTAGGATAAATTTTTATTTTAAATAACAAAACACACAATTTATTTGAACATTTTCTTAAGTTTGTCTGTCCATGCTTGTGTTGTATTTTCATTTGATTGATCTTTTTTTGTTGCATCATATGTATAATCATATTTTGGTAAAGAAGTTTGTTTGCTTTCATCTAGACGATCACCTTTCTTATCTTTCGATGAGGATGGCATTAGAAGACCCATAACATTAGTGAAAGCATCCATTGGATTAGCACCAGCTTTAGTATTAAATAGACCAGCAGCAGCTAATAATTTCATTAATTCAAAAAGTTTCGTACGAACTTCACTATCTGTTAACATAGCAAGACCTAATATAGAATAATAATAATAAAGAATTATCTTAATTGTATTATAAATTGTAATTTACTTGGTTGTTTTGTTGGATTTTTTAAATCGATATAACCTTTTTTAGTCATTACCGTAATTAAATCTTGTACAACATGCATAATTTTTGGATCTTTTTGGATAGCTTTGAATAATGCCATTGCTTTTGGATTTTTTGAAAGATCTTTCATCATTTGTTCCATATTTGGAAAGTTATTATGTATCGGACTCAATGATAGAGAACGAATAACATGTACCGGAGTACGTGAAAGTGACGTAAGAAGAACACCGGTAGTACGAAGAGACATAGTAGAAACAATTCGACGAACAGCGAATGCCATCATCTTAAAAACTAAAGTATTAGAATAGAATATAAATTAATATAAATCATATACTGATGTAACTTTTACTAATAAATTGATTTGTTAGATAGAACAAGCCATTAAAATATCTAACGATAGATATCGCTCTATATTTAATATATTATGAGATTTGAAATAAAACTTTTATTTCTAATAAATAAACGCAAAGCATTAAGAAAAGATTTTTTTTATATTTCGTTTTAAAAGAAAAATGATGACATATTAATTAGTCTTCACGTTTTGCATCTACTGATGGTTTTCTAACATAGTCTTTCCATGTACCAAATAGACGATCAAAATCAATTAATGGTACTCCATAATTACATTCAAAAAATGCATGATGAAGATAATGAAAATCGCCTCCGCCAGCTGGATCATCGAAACCATCATGGCCACCAATTGGTGCAATATCAGCATGAAATTTTGCATAAAGAAAATGAAGCGGATGACATGCAAAAAGTAATGGAAAATATGCACATGTATAATAAAAGAAATGTTCAACAGGGTGCATAGATAATCCTGACCAAGGACCAGGATTACGACTTTTATGATGAAGACTATGACAATGTCGATAAAGAAATGCACCAATATCACCTTGACTTAATCCATTTTTAACAGACCACCATGGATGCATAAAACGATGAATCTATATAATAAAAATAATATAAATATTTCTCTGATAAATGAAATTTACCCAGTAAAAATGAAATTCTCTCCAAAAAGTAACAGCTAAAAGAATAAATATTGAAAAAAATGGTCGTGACCAAAAATCATAATAATACGGTAAACGACCACTAGCCCATAACCACATAAAAACACATTGAACAAATGCTGATTGTAACCAACCAAGTGTTGTAAATGTTACTTCTCGTAATAGATGATCTTGCTTTTTATCATCATAAGGATTAGTTGAATTAAATTTCTTTTCCTTTAATGGTCCTTGAGCATATGGACTTGTACGTCCATAAGTTAACCAATGCCAAAATGAATAAATAATAAATTCACATGCTAAATTATAAAGAAAAACTTGTGATACCCATTTTATATGCCATTCATGTGCTTGAGGAAATGTTATTGGAAATATCCAAAGCCAACATAAAAGTGCAGCACTAAAATCAAGTGCATGTGCTACATGACACCAAATAAGATAATCAAATGCTTTTCGTTGCCAATAAGACCATTGAGAATATGTTTTAAATATTAACGGAGTAGAATAATTTTCTTGACCGGTATGAAGTCGATGAATTCCAACGAGATTTCGAATACCGAATGTCATTGTAACTGCACTGGTTATCACAAGAAAAAATTTATTTTACGATGTATATATATGTTGATATTTATCTTAGACGTTATGCTGTTCTTATCATTTATTAACGATTAAAACTTGTTGTTTTTTCTTTCATGAAGATAAGAATATACTTGAAAAACATTTATTTTTCATAGTAACTTGACTATCGTAAATGAAAAATTAATTTTCGGACCCTAGAGAATAAAAAGAGATAATCAAAAATATAAATTAAATATTTACACACCAAATTTTTGAAAGAAAAATTATACAAAGGATTATATAAACGGATGTACAAACCTAAAAGTAATATTTTAATTATCTTAAGTTTATCATTGATTTAACATACAATTAGAAAATAGAAATGGAAATTTGTAGATGGTATTTCTTTATATCGATTTGATAAAGAATCAAGTGAATTAATAGATACAATAATATGTAATTTATTATTTAAATTAAACTTTTCATTAAATCGAAATGATTGTTGAATATCACCATATTTAATACAATGACGATTAAGAAAATAATTTTGAATAGATTGATTTTTTCTATAATTTGTTAAGAAATCACGTTTATAACGAGAATTATCGTTGGTAATAGATTTTGTTAGAAATGAAAAAAGATCAAGCCAGATAACATAGCTCATAAGACAGCAAGAAAAAACTAGAAGATTTATATAGAATATTTGTAAAATAAAAGTAGTACTCATCGAATGAGTTTAATAAAACAAAGCGCTTTTTAGTAATTGATAAAGAAAATACGTAAATTTCAATATTAAAAACTATCATGTTTGTGCAATTGTTAATTGCATTTTAATATAAATGTATAGATCAAAATTATAAGAAGCTCAATTCTCACTGATTATTATAATCAGCTTGTTCGTACAGAGATAACAAAAATGATGAATCTATTAGGCGCTAAAACACGAGAAGTTGTATTATTATTTTCACCCATATACACTAGTCGTAAAAAGTGCCGCTCCTAGATGAAAAGGATTTACATTCTAACCATTTTACTATAATTGCAAGCATTAGTTCGCTCTCAATTGATTGATACATATTGAGAATAGTAGATGAACAGTGTTATCTTTTATAATTTATTGGTTGTCAAATTGTAACTCGTATGGAGTTCTTTTCATTACCTGAAAACCATTTGTTACTCAAATTTTAATCATAAATAGTTTCGACATTGAATTATCAAATAATATATTACACATAATTACTAGTTAGAATCGATTTAAATTCTATTCATAATCGCAATATGAGACCAAATGATTAGGGTTGAAATCGTTTTCACCTATATGTGATACTTTTAATGACTACTGTATCGGATCAAACTAGTTCTATATACAATTAGTACATAATTGGTATAGACATTTTCTATCAGAAAGCTCTTTATGTACTGTCTAGCATAGTCTTGTCAAATCCAATAGAAACTTTGAAAACGTAGACTGACTCGATGTATCTCAATAAATGATATACGATCTATTCGAAATAGACAATTGATCCGTTTATCATATGAACCTACATTCTTTGTTTGAAATAAATTTATTATAACAAAAAATATTTATGCTAGACTTTTATATATTTTTTAATGTATCACAAAAAAAATTCATCCAATTCGTTTTCTTTTGCTTTCATATAAATATTTTTTTTTCTAAATCGAAAATACTTTCAATATATTTCTATGATTTCTTCTAGTTGATGTTAAGAAAAAAATTCTATGTTGACCAATAAAAAATTTCCTTCTGACCTCTTTATTTAAAATGTCGCTAGCATCGACCAAAACAAACTTGATCCTTCTTCATTCATACAGTGTTTCTTGTTTGTCAAAACAAAATTAGTCTAATGGAGAAAATGGATACGACTCACTCGCCTTCATTATCCACTAGAATTTGGTATGTCTTATTTTCATTTAAGGAAAGAAAGAAAACTATTTATTTGTTTTTTGTCTAGTACAATTCAACATGAAAATCACAGTAGTACAACTATTGATATGCTTAAAGATTGCTCACCATGTAATAATAAATTAATAAAAATCTCCGATAAACATGCAAAATTTTTAATAGAAAATTTAAATTTATTACGAAAACAAAAAGAATTATGTGATGTTATTTTACTTATTGGACAAAATCAAATTCCTGCCCACCGAGCGGTACTTTCTGGTAAGAAGAAATGATATTATATAAATAATATGTATATATTTTTGTTTTCAGCATGTAGTCCTTATTTTAAAGCAATGTTTACTGGTGAATTAGCCGAAAGTCGTCAAACAGAAATAATTATCCATGATATTGATGAATATGCTATGGAATTATTAATTGAATTTTGTTATACTTCAAGAATTATTGTAGATGAAAAAAACGTTCAGATGTTATTACCAGCTGCTTGTATACTTCAAGTAATATAAAAAATTTCAATCGTATAGATTGAAGAAAAATCTTTATTTTATTTATTGTAATAATAATTTCTAACAGATTTTAATCATATCTCATAAAGAAATGAATATTATTGGTTGCTGACTATTCAGAAATCGAATCATTTATTAAAAACTTCATATACAGATTTTATCTAGAATTTTTAATAATAAAGCGTTTTATATATTCCTATTTCTTATCATATTACTGTAGCTATTTTGCTTTTTAGTATGATAGATTATAGTCATATTATTTTACACACTATTAAGTTTATTGATTTTCATATCGAATATATTCCCTTGATTATTTCTTTCCAAAACATACTCTGTTTAATTACAAATTCTTGTTAGTAAATAACTGATTAACTATGTGTTATTCATCAATTAACGATTACTCTTGATATTACAATAATCTGGATTGAATCTTTCGAGCTTTTATATATACTTTTCTTCATAAATTATACGCTTCATTTGTAGATCGAGTTATGTTATCAAAACAATTAGCTATCAAAGATCTTTATCAGCTATTATCTATGACATATATATCACGCAGACACCACAGATAACAAGGTCAATATAAAGACAGATGCGGATTACATTTATAGTCAATCATTAATATCTATATCTGAAGGACACTTACTCAGAATATAAAAATAATACTCAGTATATAATTGCTGACAGATATTTTAAATGTAAATAATGAAAAAAAATTGCTATGACAGACTATGATAGAGATTTGACTTAAATAGATAGCAGAATTTCCTGTTAATTGGAAGTCTAATATTTCAGAAAGAATGACATCATACCCTACTTTTGAAAGATAACATCTCGAAAGATTGATACACTAACGCCAGATATTATCGCATCTTATAAGAAAGTTGTGTTTATATTAAATAAATTAAGAAATTTTGATTCATAGATCATTTACTGATTTGAGTGTCATAGGTTTCGAAAAATAAACTATAATACGTATTGGGTTGATTCAGACTGTTCATTTATATCGATATGAAAAAATAGTTTTAGTAAGTCGAACTCTAATAACGGATGGCGCATAAGTTTGCTTTTCTTTTTTCGAACATCTGTCTCTTTGTGTAACTCAATACCCATCAGATCTCATACTAAATGTAAATTTTATTCGGAAGGAAATGATGTAACATCAAACTATGTTTTCTTATTTTTTCTGAAATTATTATGAAATGTCACGAGATGCAGAATTTCGCAGGATATCCTGCGGCATATTCTGAAGTTCAATAGAAGCTTTATTCAAAAATATTTTAATCATTCTTTTATTTTCTGGCAATCGCGATTGACGAGTTGAGTGCCTATTAATCTCTTTGATTTTTCATCAACAGAGAGAACTTGCTCGAAAAAAAAACAAAATATATCGCTTCGTAGAGCGAACAATATTTTTGTCACGATCTTTGCGTCACTCGTTAAATTCTTTAGATTTAAGAATTAGAATGACTTATAATGTAAATAAAGCATAATACACACTGTCTTTATTGTATAAACTATACACTAATACAGACTACGAGAAAGTCATCAGCAATGGTCAAACACTGTTTCTTAACTAGAAAAATTTATTTGATCTTTGAGAATTATTAAGGAAAAACTCTTTATAATTCTAATTGAAACAAAAGAAGAATTTATTTAGATTGAAGAAGTCCAAATAACTTGCTGTGAATTTCTCCAGAAACAACTCGATCCAACAAATTGTCTTGGTATTCGAGCATTTGCTGATACACATTCATGTCGAGAACTTCTACGTATTGCTGATCGTTATGCTCAACAACATTTTACTGATGTTAAAGAAAGTGAAGAATTTTTATGTTTACCTATTAATCAATTAATTGATATAATATCAAGTGATGAATTAAATATGACTTGTGAAGAAGATGTTTTTAATGCTGTTATGCAATGGATTTCATGTGATCTTTCACAAAGAAAACAATATTTACCTAAAGTAAATATGAAATTTGAAAATGAAATTTTTAATTTGATTTATTTAGATCTTAGAACATGTACGTTTTCCATTAATGAATGCACGATTTCTTGTCAGTACAGTTAGCTCAGATCCATTGATACGAGCTGATCAAGCATGTAGAGATTTAGTTGATGAAGCTAAAGATTATTTATTATTGCCACAAGAACGATTAAATATGCAAGGACCACGAACAAGACCAAGAAAACCAATTAAATCAGGCGAAGTTCTATTTGCTGGTTAGTTGATTTTGAATTTTGAAAAAAATTGATTAATAATATTTTTCGATTTCTTATCTAAATAGTTGGTGGTTGGTGTTCAGGTGATGCGATAGCCAGTGTTGAAATGTTTGATCCAACTACGAATGAATGGAGAGCTGTAGCATCTATGTCAAAACGAAGATGTGGAGTTGGAGTTGGAGTATTGAATAATCTTTTATATGCTGTTGGTGGCCATGATGGTGTTAGTTATTTGAACAGTGTTGAACGGTAGAAAAAACATATTTATTTATTTATTTATAAATTTTGATTTTATTCTGTAGATTTGATCCTCAAACAAATCAATGGAGTAATGAAATAGCACCAACAAGTTCATGTCGAACAAGTGTTGGTGTTGCTGTACTTGATGGTTGTCTTTTCGCTGTTGGTGGACAAGATGGAATATCGTGTTTAAATCTTGTTGAAAAGTAAAGAATTTTGTTTTAAAAAATCTTAATGTGTATAACGGAGGCAAAGTCGATCTTCTTCCTTTCAAATATGTTCGATAGTTATGTAGAGTTCAATTTAGTAGTAGTTTATAGTAATATTCCAATGATCTATATCGTATTGAGTGATAACGACAGCTCTTCATAGGGATGATGAAGCGTTTGTTAACTATGTGAAGGATTTCAACCTCAATAATCATATTAGATCAATTATGTTTTCTTAGCTCTTTAAAAATAGACTAAAGACATGATATACATTTAATTCGTATTCTAACTCGAGAGAATCTTATTTGTCCAGTTCTTGATTTTGTTTTAATATAAATATATATTTCTTTTCTATTCAATTAAGATATGATCCATCAATTCAACGATGGATTCGTGTTGCATCTATGGGTACGAAACGATTAGGTGTTGCTGTAGCTGTTCTTGATGGATATCTTTATGCTATTGGAGGATCAGATGGACAATGTCCACTTAGTACAGGTTAGTAAAATATTTGTAATATTTAATCTATGAAAAATTTTCACTTATAGTTGAAAGATATGATCCAAAAGCAAATAAATGGTCATCAGTAGCATCAATGAATACACGACGAAAACATCTTGGCTGTGCTGTTTATAATGGATATATATATGCAGTAGGTGGTAGAGATGATGCTACAGAATTATCAACAGCTGAAAGATTTAATCCTAAAACAAATCAATGGTCACCTGTTGTCGCAATGAATTCAAGGAGAAGTGGAGTAAGTTTTTGATATAAAAAAAATTAATTAATCCTTTTTTCTTGTAATTTCTAGGTTGGTTTAGCTGTTGTTAATAATCATTTAATGGCTATTGGTGGATTTGATGTAAGTTTTTGATTATTAGTCATTATTATTCTAATAATTATTTCTCTAATTAGGGTGCAGCTTATTTAAAAAGTGTTGAATTGTATGATAGTGAATCGAATAGTTGGAAATTACATGGTGGAATGAATTATCGTCGATTAGGTGGTGGTGTTGGTGTCATTAAAATTCAACAATATGACTCAATTTTATATGGATCAAATTCTACATCTAATATTGTACCAACATCTCCAGATGATCTGAAAAATCGTTCAATATCAACATTAGTTGATCTTTGAATGAATTTTCCGATATTATTATTATTATTATTTTTTTCTCATTTGTACATTTAACTATGTTGTTGTTCTCGGTGTACAGTAGTTTCATTCATTGGGCTCTATCTTTATTCAATGATAGTTAAACCAAATATATGTGTATTTAATAAGCTATCATATTGGATGGTTTATCTAAAAAAAATATTATACTTGATAAACAAATCAGCCATTTCTTTCTTGTAGTAAAAGAAAACAAATAATCTATTCGGTTTTTTAAAATTCTTGAGCTTTGTTGCAGTTTGTAATATCCCGCCACTACCAAGCTCATTATAGTATAATAAAAGACTATGAACTGTACTATGTGACGTTATAACTCTCGACAAATTGGCTGAGCTATCATAGCATTCAATGAATATCAAAATAGAAAGGACTTTTGAGAAGCATTTTTTCATTTATAAGTAAAATATATATAAAAATTAGCGTTATGTCCTAATCAATTGATTATATGAATCATTTGTTTGTTAATAGGTGAGAAAGTCATTTTATGTATTGAAATAGAAAAAAATTCTAAAATTTATTGTCCAGTTAGAATACGACATCATTATTTTTATCATTAACCATTCAATATGACGATGGATTTTCTTCATCGATGTCGAATTCTAATCTTTTGAATTTGTTCTGACGATTTGTCCAATTAGTAAACATGGAATCATTAGAAGTATCACTATTGTCTACATCAATTGCGTATAAATTGAAACGAGTAACTTGACCTATACAAATAAATATTATAGTTTGTAAATATTATTTTTTTCGAAAAAGAAATATTCATACGTCTATTTCGTATATAAAGAATATAACAAAGCATGACAAATAAAATAAGAATAATGATCAATGAAGTCCACACAATAACTAATGTATCATGATGAAATGAAAATTGTTTAGTAGTTGTTTGTTTTGGAATATCAGCGAAAGTAAAATTGTCTATATTTTTAATCGTTGAAGATCTAAGTACTTCTACAGTAGTAGTCGGAGATGATGTTGATTCATACACATCAGTTTGATCTTCATCTGGTATAGGTGGAAAAATTACACTGTCTGCTGGAATAAGCCTAAATACAAATAGTAATATTTATTTTTTAGTTATTCTGTTAATAAAAATATAATATAAATCAAGACGAATATCTGAAAGATACTCTTGTATGTTCAAGCAAAGGCTCTGTTAAAAGATGGCCCATGTCTTATTGCTGTTCATCCGCTTTATAAATATTAGTACTTGTTCATTAAAATCTTTTTATTATCATAACTTACTTTGTCATATTTGGGACTAGATTATTCCAACATGTTGGAAATGGAGGTCGATAGACGGTTTGTTGATTACTTGTTATATTTTCTGGTATGTATGAATACATGACATAAATATTACACATTTCATCATTATGTGTATCTCTAAGATTATTTCATAGATATTATATGAAAAAAATGTTTATTTTTTAATTTCTTACCCAACGACAATAACTCGATCATCGTTATTATCATATACACATTGACCAATTAAATAATCACCACTTTGAATATCAATCGGTGATGGAAGTAAATTGAATGCTTGACTTATTTTTGGAGAATTTTTGACAATCAATGTAACATTTCCATTACGTACTCGATATAATGAATTTACTCGTCCTATAAAATATTAGATATTTCTAATCAACTTTTATAAGACATAGAATATCTAATAGAAAGTAAATAAGTATAGTTCGAATGTTTAATGTATACTGACTTAATGTCATTTAAGTTTTTATTTATTCAGCAAAGAAAATAATAGAGTAGCTAGGGAAAAAATCCGAAGTGTGTTGGACTGAACTCTGATCATACTAACTCTTATAATATCAAAATCATTATTTTATCATTCATGAAAAAAATTTGATAAAATAAAAATGAATAAACTAACAGTTAGAAGTTTCGAAAATTCTGTGTTTGTTCATTATGATAACATTAATTTTCTTAAATCTTATTTCTATGTTTAGGAAATATCAAAACTACTATATCTCTATATATATGACCCATTATAGTTTTTGTTTTAGTATGAGTTTCGATCGTGGAAAATAAAATAAATATAATACAAACCCCACATATGAGTATGAACAGCAGCAGCAAAAAAAGAAACGGGTTGTCCCCTGTAACTACACGAAAAAGGAACTTGAATAGCTAAAACGAAATACTCAGTGATTAAAATACTTCCTGTCGTGCTTTTTTACTTTGTGTATTTGGTTGCAATTTGATATCACTTGAACCACTTAATAAAGTATTTGCATGATATTTACATCTAAAAATATACAGAATTATTTTATATTCTATATTTTCATAATCCACCTACGGTTTTCGAGTCATAACTAATTGAAGTCCAGAGTTATCTCCTTTGAGAATTAATAAATAATGAACATTCACTACAATATATTTATTTGGAGTATTACGTCCAACAGCAATGCCAACATCTAAATATGATATATAAATTTTCTTCAATATTTTAATTTAAATCGCAAACCTTTTGGTAACAATGCTAATGTAGGTATATTATAAGACCAATCATGAAGAATCACTGTTGGACCATTACATGGTTTATTTCCAATCCTATAGAAATAATTTAATATGAGCAAATCAAAAAGAAGAAAAAAGAATAAACCAAAATGATTCATTTGAATACGGTGTAGAACAAGCAAATGTAACCACATGATGAGCAATAGTTAAATTCGTTAATGGAAGAAATCCGACTAAATTTAAAATATTAAAGTTCTTCAATAAACAAAAAGAACTTACGTGACAACTTCCCAATGTGCCCAAAAAGTTTAAGGCCCTCCCTCGTGACTTTGTTCTCCAGAACAAGTCCTGAAATATGTCGTCAGAGCCTAAATTCTCTTCCACTTTCTCATCTCTCATTTAGGTCTACTTATAATCAAAAGAGAGGACGTAAACTTCTCGGGCACGTCTGGAGTTTGTCTCATAGATTCAACTTACTAATGAATAATTCTTCATCAGGTATTTTATATTGAATATACATATATTGATCTTCCTAGAGAAAAAAATAACGTGCAAAATTTTTTCTAAATTCTTTTTTATAAACCTTTGTTGTTTCGAAATTTCTCATTGTAATATTAACAGTAAAAACATCATCTTGATCTAATACATGTGTTGATTGATCGCAATTGGCAACAGTAATAAAAACAATTGCAATAAAATAAACGATAAACATTTCAAAACTAATATTCTTCATTTTATGAATTATTTTCCTACGTAAATAAAGTTATATAGATATCGATAATAATTATATACTTTTATTTGCTTACTTTGGCGTCTAATTTGCGTCAAGATAGAAAGGTAAATGAAGCACATATTACTTTCTACGAAACAAACGTTATATATAATACATGACGAAATAAAATACACCTATTGGTATTAGAGAGTAGAAAGGCGAAAAAAACAAAAATACGCATCAGTGATTACCGTCTTGAGATTACTTATTCAACATATCGAAAAAGATAGAATTTTTTTCATGGTAGTTTCAAATAAATTGTTCTATTTATTCTATCAATCTACTTCCCGTTGATATGTATAACTTTTTGTGGGATGAAATACAGTTTCTCTCATCTTTTGTACTTCAAGTTTAGGTTTATTAAAAGTATGAAATTAAAAAATACAATGATTAAAAGAAGAATAAATTCATTGATTTATAAATAAACATACATCTAAAGGATGGATCACAAGGTACAACGAGCGATTTTCTTACACCATTGCGATTACTGTAATCATTGATTAGATCATATCCTTTTTTATTTTTTCATCGAAGAAGAGATAAGAACGAGTTATAGTGTATAAATGCATATAGATCGATAAGAATGATCATATAGATATCAATTTATCATTCACACATGGTATGAAAATATTTTTGTTTGTCTTTCACCTAGTCTAATTATTATCATGCAGATAGATTGATTTGAAATATAATAAATTAGTTTTCTTTATATAATAATAATCGAACAAAACAATTTAATCGCTCTGTTTTAATTAGAATTATTATTATTTTGTTTTCAAACAAATGAAAACATTCGCTGTTGTCATCGGATTCTATAAGGAATCTTTTTAGATCATTCACAATATCTGACTGTTGTACCCGATCGACATTTTGATTACAAGATACTGAAGGTAGGTGTGGAATGTCAGTTTTTTGTTGTTTTACTGTATTTCGTCACTTCAACAAGGTAGATAATGCCTAGAGTTACTGCACTGATCGAATTCCCATTGTTCCCAATCATCTGTACATGGTCTACAATCGAAGATGTGTGACAATGCTGAATATAATATATTTGATTTTTAATCAAAATATGTTTTTTTTATTTAGATTGCGATGTATCGATTATAATGTTATAATTAAGAAAAAATAAATTAATAGTTAGTTTAACATATTTGTATATAATTTTTTGTAAAAAAATCAATTATTTCACATAAAACAATGACAAATTTTTGTTGCAAATGTAAAAAAAAAGTCTTTCATATTTCGAAAGAGATCAAGTTTTCACGCACTATCTGTCATTTGAAGTATAGCAGGATTGTTTTGTTTTGTTTTAAATATAACGTCTTCATTAGAATTCGATAATTGATTTTCTTCATCAGAATTTAATAATTGATTTTCTTCTTCAATTGCTTGTTCTAATCCTTTAAAACTTTTTGGACGATTTATCCACTTGCTAAATAATGAACTACTATTAGTAGGACTATTTTTCACATCACTTGTATATAGATCCAATGGTCGACGTTTACCTATATGAATAGATAGTATATTGAAAAATACAATAATTAAAACTTTTCATACGTCTGTTTCGTATTTGAAGCAAACAATAAATGACGAAAATAATGTAAGCTGGAATAAGTATAGCAATAAATACAACGAGAGCAATACGAATTTGTTTTCGATAAGGACTAAGTCGATAAAGAATTGATAATTTTTTAGATTCTGAAAATGAGAAATAAAATACATTGAAGATTAAAAGAAACAAAACTTCGTACTTACCTTTGTTCTTCGGTGTTGACAACTCATGTGCAGTATGAGCCGATGCGTTAGACTCTTGTACAAGATTAGTCAATGATTCATATTTATGTAGAGCATCGCCTGGTGATGATGCTAATTCACCAATATAGATTTCATCAGCATTTTTTGATATAGTAATATCATGTGGTGAATTCAAGAGCTTTAAGTAGAAAATATTTTGTAGTATATTTTATCATGTTTTCTACTATAAATAAACTTACCACATTTCTTTCAAGTGCTTTCAAAACATCACCAGTTTCAGCATTAATTATATAGATTTTTTTGGCCGATGTTTGTGCTCCACCACTAACAGCAAATAAAATTGGTTCTAAACAAAGGCATATAATCAAATTTTACTTTTTTCTTATAACAAACCATTCGTATTTGGAGCGAATTCAATAGCATAAATTGCACCATTAGTTCCTTTTTTTTCAACATGTATTTGTCGTAGAAATTGTCCTGAATATGGATTGAAACATTGAATACGAAAATTTTCACGATCAGCAGCACATAATAATTGAGCACCTTCATTCAATGCAATTGAATGTACAATATTCCATTCATTAGGAAGTGGAAAACCATCGTCTATAAATTAAAATTATATATATATATAAATTTTTTACTCCCATCAATTAAGATGATAGGATTAATTTATTTATGTAAAATATGAAATGTAAAGAAAGTAAAGATTTTTAAAAAGTCCCAATGGTGTTGATAACAGAGAGGTTCTACTTTATTTTTAGTCTTTAAATAAAAAACTTACTATCATATTTTCCAGTCATAGGAAGACCCCATTGCATAATATATTGACCTTGACGATTGAATTTAATAACTCGATGATTACAATAACTAAAAATATCAATAAAATATATTTTTATAATGTATCTAATATAATTACCCATCAGCAACAAAAAAATCTCCATTTCTCATAACAGCAATATCAGCTGGTCGACAAAATTGATTATTTCCTGAACCTGATTTAAATCTTTCTCCAATAGTTAATACGGGATGAGTTAAATCATTTGGTCTAAACATAAATACTTGATGTAAAGCAATATCAGTTAACCAAAAATTTCCATCATGATCTATTGTTAATCCATGTGGCATATAAAACATTTTAGCACCCCATTGAGATTTGCTTCCTCCTGTTTGTGCATCAATATGAACAAGAACATTTTCTTCAATTGAACCATACTTTTCATCACGAAAACGAACACCATCAAAATAACTTTTAAAACAAAAACAAATTTATGTGTTTCTTTGAAATTTTCATCTTACTTAAATTCCCATTTTCGAGATCCACGATGAAATACAACAAGTTCATCATTTGCATTATTCAAAGCAATTCCACCGACTTGACCAAGTTCTTTTGGTAATGATTGAACATTAGGCCAATGGTGAACACTTTTATATACATTACCTAAAAATAAATGAATTGTATTTTTTTTCGATCTACTTGATTTTCATAGAAATTCGTTTTAATACATTCTGTTTTGTATTATACCCTTCCCTCCTCGTAACAGATCGTGACCGACATAGCATGAAAGACCTTGTACCAAGGATTTAGTAACCTTCTCTCTCCGCAAAACTAATTATAATTTTAATTAATGTGTTTCGGATATTTTTCATAGAAAACTCTTTTTTTTGTACAAGCAGATGCTATGCATATTAAAATGTAACGCAATTACTCAGAGAAACAATTGGAAAATAACAATATTTAACTAATGCATTCGAAAATTTTAGTACTTTTAATTAACTAATACATGACTTCCTAATAGATTCGGCTAATAAGAAATTGAAACCTAATTCGAAGTATAAACTCGCTGATCAAAAGCAAGAATATGTGTACGCATTATTTAAAAACGCTACGTTGATTGTTATGAAAAATATTTGATAACAACAGTCAAAAGAAGCAAATATCTTTTGTTTTAACGAGTTGTAGTTACTTATAGTTACTCACGTCATCGATTTGTTCAATATTCGTTTATTTATATCAAAACTAACCGTTAGATGCTTCGACAATATGTTTTGTAAGTATTTTATCATTATTTGTACCACCAATATCAGCAGGACTAGCTGGAGCAATGACACTGTCGGGCGGTATAAGACTAAAACAAAAACATTAACTTTATTTTCATTTATTTCTACACTAAGATAAATTAGTTATAAGTGAATTTGAATAAAAAATGTTGTTTTTATTCATACTCAATTCTCCATTTGTTAATATTATTTTTTTGAAAAATATTTCATACCGAGACATAGCAGTGACTGCATCACCCCAACATCCTGAAATTGGAGGTGTACCAGTTGGTGTTGCTGATGGTTCATAAGAATACATCGCATATACATTACACATTTCATCATGATGTGTCGATCTAAATTTTGTAGTATTATATCATAGTTTTTAGAAAAAAAAATATATCTTACCCAGCATAGATAGTTCGATCATCATCATTATCATAGACGCATTGTCCAACAAAAAAATCATCTTTTTCAATTTGAACAGGTGATGGAAGTGGATAGAATGATTGAGCCCATTGTGGATTACTTTTAACTATTTGTGAAATATTTCCATTACGTACTCGATATAATGAATTCACTCGAGCTTTAAAAATTCAATAATAAAAGAGATTATTTTATTAAAAAAATACAAACCCCAATCATGAGCATGAACACGAATAGCAAAAATAGAGATAGGTGGTCCATTGTATAAACACGAAAATGGTGTTCGAATAGCTATATATAAAAGATAAAAGTATAATTATAAACAAAAAACAAAAAGATTATTTACTATGTGTTTTTGGTGGTAATTGAATACTACCTGTAGCACCTAACATAACACCTGCACGATATTTACGTCTAGAAATAAAACAATAAATTTCGTTTAAAAAAAATAATTTAATATAATTTATATACGGTTTTCGACTTAAAGTTATTTGATTGCCAGAATTATCACCTGCTACTATTGCTAAATAATGAAGATTAGCAACAATATATTTATATGGAGTATTTCGACCAACAGCAAAACCGACATCTAAATATATAAATTTTGTTTCTTGTTTTGATTATATGAAAAAAAAAATAATACCTTTAGGTAATGTTAATGGAGGCGCATTTCGTGCCCATCCATGAATAAGCGTATTTTCACCACGACATGATCCAGCACCAATCCTATATCAAAAAGCAATTATTTTTAATAAAATTTTGGATAGAAGAAAAACTAACCAAAATGCCTTATCCGAACCGGGACTTGCACAAGCATATGTAAGCATATGATGAACAGTATTCATTTCAGTTAATGGTGAATATCCAACTAAATGTCAAATAATGAGTCATTCTATTATAAGAAAAAACCTTGAAACTAACCAATCCATAATTCTTCATCGGGTAATTTATATTGAACATATGCATATTCATCTTCCTGAAATACAAAATCATAGTTAGAAAATGAATTCTCTCCTATTTTTCTATATTAACCTTTGTTGTTATCATATTTGTCATAGTAATATTTACAGTGAAAAGATCATCTGTATGTGCATGGACACTTGTCGACTTACCATAATTAATAAAAGTTAAAAGAATAATTAGAATACTATGAACAATGATTGTATCAATACGAAATCTCTTCATTTTCATAAACATAAAATACGCCAAACCCTAAACGTATTGAAAATTTTATTGTTTTTCATGCAGTATTCTCATTTTTGTGTTTACCTACGCACACGTTTGATTGACGTCGACTGATGGAGAGAACCGAATTGAATACAGAACGAAAGGAAGGAATGTAATGTTCGTTATAAAACGAAATATATTATGACTATTAATAGTAGATAGGTAAGAGAAAGAAATTATTGTTCTGCCTGAGTAACCATCATGCCCATACGAATACTTTTTTTTTTGAGTCGAAAAGCATTGCAATTAGTAAGCTCGGCATGTAACAGAAAAAATGTGCGTTTATAGACATGATTTATGATATAAATATTTGTTTTATATGAAAACAATCTGATTTTTGTTTTAGAATAGATGACATGAATTAATAGTTTGTCTTAAATTTGTAGATAAAATGAAAAATTATCTGAAACGATAAAAGTCAAGGTTGACATGTTTTCTTATTCAGAAAAAAAAATCAGTTATTGTAATGTTTTCCCAGACCCTTCATTTATAAATATGTAGTTTGCTTAGATCCTGTGAGTTGAGTAAAATTTGAGTTCATTAGTCCATAATATACCTATTTCAAATACCTAGCAACATGCTCACCGTTAAAATGAGTCCGGTGAATTGAAGGAAAACTTTTAGACACATGTATAATAGAGGTACGTGAAATAATATCATGGTTGATGAATTTAGCACCAAAAACTAGCTAGAAAAAGAAAATGAGTATATTTAAAAACTATAACTCTTTCGTATTACTGGAGTTCGCACCATATTTTTCTCGAAATTTGATATTTATGATATATTGCATTCAAATATTTGAATTTTAGTAGACGAGCTAATTCATTTCATTTCATTAATAAATCTTTTTGAATAATAAATCCTGTTAATCCTTTAGAACATATTGACTTATTTGACGAGATTACTCAAACTTTCATTTTTAGAAAAGTTAATCAATGGAACAGCTCAAATTATCTGTTCAATAACTATTTTAATGCTAAGAGATGATGATTCTTATAGAAAGAGACATACATAAGCTGATATTTCTATCTTGCTGATTCAGTGAAACAAAATGAAACACTTGTCGTTGCAAAAAAAACTCTCTGCATCATAAATGATTATAGGGGGCATATTCCTATATTTTTAATTTGTCTATTATTTCACCTATAAAATGCAGTATTATGAGTCAACCTAGTCAATGATTATATTCGTATAAACTAATGCAAAAAAATGGCTGCTGTCTTGACATCTGTTCCTTCAGAAGCTATTTCATTACCTGTCGTTGATGTAAATGGCACATCACATCTATTTTCTACTCTCTATTCAACCGATGGTCATAATCAACAAACTCTTGTTATATTTATTCGTCATTTTTTTTGTGGAAGTTGTAAAGAATATGTGACTGGTTTATCAAAAGAAAATGGTATAACACCTAATGAACTATCTAATTCCAATAAACGTCTTATAATAATTGGTTGTGGTCAACCAAATCTAATTGAACAATATAAAAAAGATACAAAATGTCCATTTACAATCTATTGTGATCCAACACAAAAATTATATGATGCTTTTGGAATGATTCGAACATTAAGTTTAGGTGAGAAAAAACCAGATTATATTAAATCGTCTTTTTTATCGAATGTGGCTAAATCAGCTGTATCACAAATATCTGCTGGAACATGTATGTTTCAAGGTGGTGATATTCGTCAAAATGGTGGTGAATATCTTATTAATGAACGAGGAGATATCATATGGTCACATAATATGATTAATACTCAAGATCATGTTGAAATTAAAGAATTACGCAAAATTCTAGTATTAGATTAAATGATTGGCTTAGAAATAAATTTATACTTATACGTTATCGATCAATTCAAATTTCTTCATTTATTTTTGTAATCAACTTAAAATAAATATATAGTGAAAATAAAAAACTAATGTTCGTTATGGATTGATTTGATTTGGTTTTTTCCAGAAGGATATTCGATTTTTTAAAGCCTGTCGAAAACGATTCGATGATATAATAAACATATAAAAATTGCCCTGTACAAAAAAAACAGACTTTTTCTATTAGTTTCACAAACAAATCAAAATATACATACGACATAATAAATATAAGATACAAGAATTAATATTGTTTGTGCAAATGCTTCTTGCTGTAGTTGATCTGTACTTTTAATAGATTTGCTTGTGATTAAAGTATAAATCTCAAGAATACCAAAAGGAGTCATACTAATAATAACAAGTATAACTTGAATTATAATCATTTTTGTCAATTGACGATCGGCGTGTTGTTCAACAAGAGCTTTAGATAAACACATATTACGATAAGTTAAACCTCCAAATATGAGCATAACTAATACTGGAATACCACATTGAAGAACAAGAATATATACTGGAATATAATTTTGATAAACTTTATTAACAGAGTTACACCGACTGGTAATAGGTGGAACATTATAGAATAAAAGTACTGGAATGGCATGAAGAAACCATACAATGATAATAATAAATACAATTCGATGAGCCCATTTAATATTACTGTATTGACGAAGATAAGCATTTCTTGATGTTGCAAAAAATTGATCAATAGTAGCTAAACAGGAACAAGTAAAAGATGTTAAACCAAGATAACCAATTAAAAATGTATATGTTAAACACCAACCCAATGATGTATCTACTAAATTAGTCTCGTTATATAAATTATAAATACGAATAGTAAGATTAAATACTATATAAAATATATTATGTATTGAACCGATAAGAAAATAGAATGTAGAAGGAGTTCTACGATAATTGCGTTCACTTGAAAATATTAAAATATTTAGAAAATTACCAATTGTACCTGTGATAAGAAAAAAATAACTACCATAAAGATTGAATCGTGAATTGCGATATGTCAAAGACATCACGAATATTTGAATTCTACAAAACAAAAAAATCATTTTTAACTTATTATATACAGTTGACGTTGATAGTTTTTATAAACGATAATAATTGTTCAACATCTCAATAAGACACTTCTATTATATTAGGAGCTTAACTCCTCGAAGACGGGTGACACTTATATGCATCGCCGCTTCTGAAATTGTTGAAATCACAAGGTAGCAACTATCTCTTTATTATTCGGTTTCGTATTAAGCTTACAGAATGTATCATATACATATTTATGATGCATCTCAAACAGGAAATGAAGTTAATTAAAAATTAATAGTCAATTATTTTAAAGAACTTCTTTTATCTAATTATTTCTCAGAAACACAAGTTCGCCGCCAAATAGTTAAAAAAAGGTAGGGATATATATCAACATATAGAAGACAAGACAGACGAAGTTTATTTAATAACTAATAACTTTGACGTTATCAAAAGATTTACGGCAATCATCTTGAGAAAGATTTTCTAATTAAATTTGAATCTGTTTTTATCTTAATGAATATAGACTATAAGCTACTTTTCTGAAAAAAACAGACTATCGACTATCAAAAAATAAAAACGCCCGTAGGCTTGTATCAATTTTCTCGATTAAATTTTGTTCTTTTTAACTTTTAAAATGTAAAGATAAGTTAATAAATATCGAACGACATTAATTCTATTGATAGAGTTTTCTATCATTGTCAAGACTGAAATGAACTGATGAGCAAAGTTTATATTTTCAACAATGTGAATTAAGAATTATAATACAAGTATATTCACAAACAAATCGGGAACTATATTGAAAGCATTGGTTGCAGTTATATTTTGAAGAATATTTGCGCACTATACATTAATCGTCAAACGTTGAATTTTCTTGTTTCATTAAATGCTTTTATATAAATCAAGCAAGATTGTTCTCTCAACATTTATTATTAAAAAGATTTGTATAAGTAATTCATATGTCATAAAGAAGAAAAATATTCCTTTTGAGTCGATTCGATTTTTCTAGGAAATAACTTTAGCAAATTCATTTTTTTGTAACGCAATAGGTAGGAGATATATTATAATCATATAGAACTCTACTTCATTGCTAACTACCGACCTCTATTGGATAACCGTTTATTTGATATTTGAGTTCTTCTACCTATCATTATGGTTGTCAATTCAAATAAAGATCGTTGATTTATTCCTGTTCTATATTTAACACTTCGATTCTTTTTTTTTCGTTAGAAACTTTATTCTGTTTCTAACATGGCAGCTGATTCAACATATATGTCACAATCTGTAAAATCCTATCCATTTTCAATGTCAGATAGATCAGCATTAAACAAAGAAGAAATCATTATTAAAGATGATGCATTAACATGCGATGAACACTGTCATAATTGGAGTATTTGGGTTTATAATGCAAAATATCGCGAAGTTTTTGGAAGAGATGGTTTATCATGGGCTAAAATTGCATTTTACTATTTTGCATGGTTTATGCTTCTTGCTGGTATCTTTGCATCGTTTGTTGGAATATTTATGGCTATTGTTGATAAACGTATTCCACCTTGTCGAGGAAATTCAAGTGCTATTGCTTTCGATACATCCCGACCAAACCCTGGTAATTGATATATATATATACAATTAAAATTTCTTAATAAATTTCATTTTTTAATTTCTAAGGTCTTGGTTTTCGACCACAATTAGGTGTTCAAAAAACTTTAATTAAATATCGTTCATCACATCGTGATTCTTATGGATATCGTCATGGTTGGGGTCCATATAAAGAACAATTAGATCAATTTTTAGCTTATTATACAGAAGCTGATGTACAATATCAACAACAAATTGAATGTAATGGTAAACCAATTGACGAACTTCGTCCACAATTTCATCAAGGAAAATCATGTCGTTTCGATATAAATATGTTCAGAGATCGTGCAACACCATGTGTTACACAAAGAAATTTTGAATATGATCGTGGTCATCCATGTGTTCTTTTAAAACTTAATAAAATTTATGATTGGGAACCAATAACATATCAAAATGCTGCTCAAGTACCCGAACAATTTAAAAGTAAATTTTTTTCTTTCTCAATTCATATTTGAACTTATGCCAAATATGTATATTTATAGCTATATGGTCAAGTGAATTCTCTAATTATATATTAGTAGAATGTGGTGGTGAAAATGATGTTGATCGAGATTTTATATTTGAGATTGAATATTATTCTCAAATGAATACAACACAAATTGGAGGTTTTCATCGTAATTTTTATCCATTTCTGAATCAAGATGGTTATCGTAGTCCATTGGTTTTTGTTTATTTTAAAAAAATTGAAACAAATGTTTTAATTAATGTTGAATGTCGAGCTTATGCACAAAATATTGATAATAATGATAGTATTGAATATAAGCGTGGAAGTGTTCATTTTGAACTTATTGTTGAATGATAAAATTCATTTGTAATCAATAGACTTGAATCTCTCATTTTAATCTGTATATATTCTTCTTATACATTCCATCAAAGTAATCTACTTCTTTGATGATAATTTGCTCTCTTTTGCTCATGACGTTTAGTTTATATCTTCTTCTTCTTCTTCTTTTGTTTTTTTTATACTTGTGCAAATTATTTACAATTTTTTATACATACCAATTTTTTTTCCTGTGCAACTTATAAATGTTTTATAATAAATATAGAGTAATGATAATGTAGTTATGAAAAATAAGAATATTTTGATTGTATATTTTGTAAGAAGAATTCATCAAAAATTTAATGATAGAGAAATCTCTTTATATAGAATAAAGTAGATTTTCAATATCATATACTGATAGAGATCGAATCTAAACGTTTCAGACCTTCTCTGAACTTAATTATTTATTAATAAAATCATACTTTATAGCTCGAATCTTTGACATAATTTGATAAATACGAGTGAAAGGGTATTTGAATTTATGAACAACGGAAACACTACTAAAATGTGTTGGTTCTGTTTAGAGGCCTGTAGCGCAATATATTTTGGCAGCCTGTAATCTGCCCTTCTGAGACGTGACCGATATATGCTCTTTTGACCTCGTTACAGAGGTGACCGATGCATGCTCTCCTGACCTCGCCACAGCCGTGACCGATAGATGCACTTTTCACCTCGTCACAGACATGACCAATAGGGTACCGTAGGCCATTATATAGGTGACCAATGTAGTATTACAAGCTATGCATGACAGATATTCTTTTGATTATGTTACTGACTGCCACAGTCATAGACATGAACAGTGAGTTGCAGAACAAAATAAAACTATTGAATTCCCACTGTTTAGGAAAGATAGATACATGAGTAGTTTCTTCTATATTAATCGATTTTTCTCTTGAATTTTGTAATAATTATCAGAAATGCTAATCAAATGAGTTCAACACATGTAAATTATTTCTTTCTAATGTGTCTATACCTTTATACTACAGGATAAAGTAAAAGCCACTTTATAATGATACAATTAAACTATCTTCTTGAAGATAGGAACACAGTTAGATCGTGTTTCACATTCTAATCCCGCCAGGGATTGCGCTAACAGCTTTTTTTATTATACTCATAAATTAAAGCTATCTGAATAGATATCACTTTATTATACTCTCATAACTTTATCAGATTAGAGTATTGCGTCGAGATTATAAAATATTCTATTATGATCTTTAGCTATCAAATGGGTTATGACATTTTATTGTATTCTATACAAATTACAATTATAGTTCATAGTTCGATATAATTCTCCGATAAATTTTATTAATTGTTTTTGCGAATAATCAAAAAGAAAAAAAAGAAAAAAAAATAGATGTAATTTATCGTCGAACAGTATTAGCCGAAGCAATTGCCGTATATAAATGTCTTAATTCGGCAACATCATTCAATGATTTAAGTTCTGCATCATGAAAAGGATCATTAGAGCCTAATGTTCCATCAAATGTAGCAGTTAAATCATTAGTAGAAACTGAATCACAGTTATTAAATGACTGATTATTTTGTTTGACTGAATTAGGTGATGAATTTGTTGAATGAATTGGTGTTGGTAAACTTAATGTACTTGATGTTATTGTTGGTGGAACACTAATAGGTATAATACAATTTTGCTGATTACCAGTTGGCCAATATATATCACGAACTGATGGTAGACGATATGATGGCGAAATGGAAGGCTTGTTTGGAGGAGGAGGAGGAGGTGCAGGTGTTACTGGAAATGAAGTAACAGTAACCGGTAAATGTACTGTAGGATGAGAGTTCGGTATATGTGGCAGTGGAGGTGGTACAAGAGACACAGGAAAAGAAATATGTTCAGTATGAATATTTGACGGAATCGATACAGAATTTGTTGTCGGACAACTAAAGTAAAAAAATATATATTTTAAAATGTATAGATGTTTGATTTATAAGAAAAAATATTCAGTAAAATTTTATGATTCTCTGGATATGTTTTAAGATCAATTATCTAGCGGTACTAATCAATAAAATATATTTGAATAATACTATAAGGGAGTTAACACTATTTATTAAAAAAACATATTTACTTTGTTGTGACAATTGTAGGAGGTGATGATACTTGTTGTCGTAGAGTATCTGCTTGAATTTCTTTTTTTTTACGTTGCACATCTTCTAAAGCTTCTAATAAAACCTTGTTTTCCAGTTTAAAATCAATCTAAAATTGAAAAAAAGAAAAAATAATTTTTTTCAAATATTTCATTTAAAACTTACGGGTTTAGCAAGAATATCACGAATTTTACTTGTATCATACTCAGGGATATCGACATTAGGCTAAAAAATATAAAACATATTTTCTTTTTAATTCTAATAAGAAATTTTCTTTTAACTTACAACAGTAATAGTTCGATATTTAGGATTAAATTCAAATGGAATATCATCTACAAATGATTGTAAAGATAATCCAACACCATTATTAAGTGAATGATTGTATTCATCATTTGATACTGACGAATATCTACCAATTTGATTGACTTTATTTCCATTATTAGATGGTTGATTCATTGAAATAATTTTATGAAAAATAATCGATTATATACATTCAAATAAATAAAAAATAATTATTTGGTTGTGTTTTTTTGAGAAAAGAATATTGAAATCTAAAATAATTTAATTAAAACAAATGTGTATATGTGTGTGTGCGTTTGTTTTCTTGTGTTTATATTATACACAAAATAGCAATAAAAAGAAAAAGAATACTGTACAATAAAACAATGTTTAAAGATAATGTAACACTTATGATGAAGTATCAATATAAGCAAAACAATATAATAAAGAAGAAGAAGAAGCAAATCTAAATTCTAATGAATATGTGATTTTATTAAAACTGTTCACAAAGCGAAGATTAATTTTGATGATGTTTCATGCCCTTAACAAGATTTGTCAAAAGTTGAGTTGTATCAATGGATGGCGATGATGTTGTATTATCAGATTTATTTTTATTTGATATCAAACGATTCGATTTTGAACGAAGTTCACATGATGGAAAATTGTATAAAAATGTTCCTATATATAAAGAATAAAAGTATTAGATATCATTCAAATAGGACTTAATGAAAAAAGAATAATAAAATAATATATCGCAGCATAGTTTGAATACTTGTGGATAGAACTGATAAGTTACGAAGCGGAATTCTTTCACAATTTTCTTCGTATTACTCATCGCTGAAATAAGAATTTGAATATATCTCTTTATTAGTAAACGAAATTAAGAATGTATTATAGTGATGATTGAAGTAAGAACAGTACACTTCAACTCGGAAATTACTGTAAATTGTTGACTTAAAATCGAGGGAGAAAGAGCGGAATCTAGAATACAAAACGGTTTTATGAAATACTAGAGAATCCCCAAAACGTTTTTTTCGAATCCTCGAAGATCTCCAGAAGTCGCCGAAGCGTGTTTTTGAAATCCTCGGGAATCGGGATTTCGCTCTTTTCCCTTCCTTAAAATGGACTATTTTTTTCTATTATAGATGTCTTTGTATCGCTACTCTTTCTTTTCTTCACATGTGTCTGTCTATCTGGTATTTTCCTTCTTTTATTCATATATGACCATATAGGATAAATCCTTCTCTTTCACATATATGTTCATATAGTATTTTCCTTTCGTTATCTTAATTCATTCTTTTGTTCTTTTTACTTATATTGAAATTTCCAAGTGGTGAATGAAAGGACATCACTTAAGTATTTACCTAGATTCTATTGTATTACAAGAAATAGGAATAATCCAATATCACCATTTCTTGTCATATAAATAGTCGCGTTTTATTCTTAAATAAATCGAACTGTTACAAAAACTTCCGAACTATCATCTTCTACAAGTTACACTGTAACAGTCTTCCAAACTCTTTTCGATTTCTTAAATCGCATTTGACTTGAAGTTAATATCTCTCAGTTTTTAAGATAAAAAACAATTGTAATCATAATAATACAAACCTTGATCATCATAAAGAATATGTTTAAGCATTGTATTAAGATTAGAATCTGATGGTAATTGAAATTGTTTTCCCGATGATCGACATTCCGTTAATTGTTTAAGCCATTTTCGAACAATATCTGTTTTAATATTATGTGCAGAACCAGAAAAGAATTCTTGTAAAAATTCTCCTTCAGATTGAAGTTTTTCATATTCATATGCTAAAAACAGAAATTCAGTTTGTTTTTGAATTTCTAAAAGAAAAAAACAAATAAAATTTACCTTGTAAAAGCATATCAAATATATCTAAATCTTTCACAAGTTTAGCTTCATCAGTTTTTTGATCAGCATATTCATTGAATAATGAAAATATTTCTCTTCCAACATCAGCTGGTAATAAACTTGTTAAATAAAGCATTGCTTCAGTTTCTCGTCGACGTTTTTCTGTTTTTGGTATACCATCAAATTCAGTTAAATCTCCGACAACCGACTCAGCCAAATCATGTACAAGTGCTAATTTCATACAACGAACTTTTGATTCTTCAGATATTGTTGGTAATAAAAGTGACATAACAGCCATACGATACATATGATCGGCAACACTTTCAACTTTTTCTACACCATGTAATACCCAACCTGTACGAAATGTACGTTTAGCTTGACCAACATAGAGAAGAAATTCTAAAAGACCATCAAGATCAGTATTCATCTTGATGTCAAGTTTGTTTTATGTCACACGAAAAGATCTTTCTATACAAAAACCAACCAAATTTTATTCGTCATTTTTTTGATTCATTATAAATAACCAATAGAAATATTTCTATTTAATAATTATATTCAATTTTAATAAATTAAATAAATTGACATTTTATTCTTTAAATATTTTAATAAATATCACATGATATATATTAATAAAGCGACATCTATATAAATTATACATCATTATAGATGTCAAACTAGAGTAACAATTAAGGAAAAAGATTTCAAATGGCAATTACAAGTGTATGTAGCAAAGAAAATTTATTAATGAAGCCTTTTGGCATATTTTTCTTTTCTTTCGTCGTCTGTATTGATCGATTGAATGTAAATTACCGGTGCTTCTGTTTTATTGTTGCATGTCAACATAAAAATAATCTAATGAATAATAATAATAATAATAATACGGATTGGCATTTATGGCTTTTTCGACGGAAGAGAAAAGCAAAATAAGAAAATTAATATATACAACGAATATGATTTCTTTTTTTATTTATAATTGTACTTTTCATTACTATGTTCACATCGATCGATAATAAGAAGTAAGATATTGATCTCATGAAAATTTATTTTTCTTTATACATTATCTAACATATATATATGTTTAAAAGAATTTTCCTCTTTCGATTTTGCTGATGTTACAATGTATGGAGACTTTATTTATGTTACTTGGCGGAAACGGGTTTTGGGAGGTCAACATAGATTGTTTATTATTATTAGTTTTGAAATATTGTAAACTTTTTATAGACTGAAATAACAAAAGTAGTCTTATATGTCGGATGATTTATAAGATCATATAAGAAGGATAAGTCAAACTGACTTAAATTTTCAATTGTATATTTTTATGTTTAAACGAGGTATTTATCAAACTAGGATTGAAAATAGTTCGTTGAGTACTTTTAAATTGTTTTCTTTTTAAAGTGTATGTCTGAATGTGATGTATGATAGAGTTCGTTTTTTGTAAACAATTGTATTTTTAGCTGAGAAAGAAGATCATAAACAATGCTTAATTTATATTAGAGATTTTGTTATGTTCTATGGCTTGATATATTAATATATTAAGCGAGTCTAGACAGAGGAATCGAGATGCGCGTTTGGAGAAGTGTGAACTGAATTTTTTAGGTAGTTGATTACAGAAATTATTAACACTTTTCGTCAAAAAGTAGGAACATTAGTAAAAGAATATACTATATTTGAATCATCTGAAGAGGAGCTATCGCTCGAGATATTTATCCCAATTTCAAAGTTATAGTATTTCTTTTCCATCTGTTAATTGTGAAGTATACTGATCAATATCACTAGATCATTTACTTGTTTCTTAGTATACGAAAACAAATCTATAATAAGAATATGTATTTGTGACGATTTCAGGCTTAGTGTAAGAGCAATATATGATATGATATATATGTATACTTTATTTTTTAAAAGAAATCGCCTGCCTACTCAATATTCCTCGTGCTTCATGTAACACTCGAAATATTCTGTTGCCAAATATAGAAAAGGACAAATATCGAAAGCAGGATTAAATATGCATGAATAAATACCGAAAGGTAAGAGTATCGAAAACAAATATCAAACGGTATATAAAGAAAAGAGACCAAGCCATCATTTGGCTGGGCACAGTATTTTCATTTTGATGATTATTATTTGTTTAGTATATAGATTAATGAATGTTTTCGAGTGTTGAATATTTATTATTATTATTATTCTAGTTGTCAGTCAATATAAGTCGATGAAAATTGAAGAACTAGTATAAAATATATATTTGGTTTATTTATTTGGATTAAATTTCATTTTGTTATGGCAAACGGAATAAATAATCAATTTTCGAATATATCAAATAGTCGGATACCTCATATACGTCTTTCTGATGATAGAAATTTAAAAACACGATATGAAAAATTAAATAAATTGGGTCAAGGTTCATTTGGAATTGTTTATCGTGTTCGAAATCAAGACAGTAAGATATTTTATGCAATGAAAATAATAACAAAAAAAGTAAACATTTATTTGATTATCAAAACGATATTCTTTATTGATTTATTATTTAGTCTGGAAATAAATATAAAGCATTCAGTCTTGATAATGAAGTAGAATTATTAACACAATTTAATCATTCTAATCTTATTCAACTTTATGAAGTATTAGAATCACCTCAAGTAAATTTGTTTTTCTTATCAATTAATTTAATAGGAATGTATTTTCCTAATCAAGATAAAAATCGAGTGATTGAACTTCAAAATCTATTTTTTCTCGTTTCTGTCATTGATTTAGAATCGACGCAATAAACTTTATTCATTAAATACTAGATTTCAATTAGAGTTGTAAGCCATCGGCTCTAGCAAAAACATCATCTGCCAGCTGTCGGCTTCAGCAAAAATTGGCTGACGGCTTATACCTCTAGTCGCTAACGGTTTTCATACTTTAGATAGTTATACTTCACTTGACAAACTCATATAATTACTTTAAAACTCTTGAGTATCTTTCCTTGTCACACGAAAATTGATTAAATTATAATAAGAAATTGAAAAATAAATAGAAATCACTGCTACATTTCATGCAAAATCAACCTTGGTTTTATACTGAAGAGTTCTAATTTTTGATTCAGAAAAAGTTATTTATTTTATAGATCGAAAATTCTTCTCTAGTAGAATCCTAAATGATCGCAACAAGATTCAACAATGTATTATATAATCCCATCGAATTTTTATTTACTCTCATTAATAATATGACGAATTTCTAAATGTTTTCATATAATTTGCTTTTAGAATCTTTATTTAATCCTGGAATTATGTGAAGGTGGCGAACTAGGTGGATATATTAAAACTAATGGTCCATTACCTGAAGAAACAATAAAACAAATAATGACAAAATCAATCGATGCATTACATTATTTACATACAAAGGGTTAGTTGAGAAATATTCTTTTTTTGATTAATTTCATCTTTTTTTTATCTATAGATGTTGCACATCGAGATTTAAAATTAGAAAATATTTTATTAAAAAAGACTCCAACAAGTAATACTGATATATTTGATATTCGAGTAAGATTTCCATTTCTTTCTTTTTTTTGGAAATAAATAAAATATATTTTTCAAGATAACTGATTTTGGTTTAAGTTCAAAAAAATGTATTACTTCAACTGAATCACTTTTTCATGATCATTGTGGTACACCCCTGTAAATTATGGATATTTTCGTTTTTTTTCAATTAAATGCCTTTCAATATTTGATTTTTATTTAGTTATATGGCGCCTGAAATACTTGAAAATAAAGATTATAGTGCTCTTTGTGATGTATGGGCTATGGGAATTATTATGTATTATTTGTAAGAAGTCAAAATAAAGAAAAGAATTCAATCTTTATATTTTTATATAGAATATGTGCTCATTATCCTTATGTAGCCGATGATGAACAACGATTACTTGAAATAATTCGTGCCAAAAAACTTCAATTTGATTCTAATGAATTTCGAAATTTATCTTCTGAAGGTAAATAATATTCTTTTTTTTAATTGTCTATAGAAAATAAATTTAATTCATTTTAGGTCTAGATTTTTTAAAAGAACTGCTTCTTTATAATACAGATCGTCGTCGAGCAATGGGTGAACTTATTAAACATCCATGGTTAACAGTAAATATTTAAATAATTTTTAGTAATTTAGTTTATTATTTAACATTTTTAGGGACGACCTGATAAAGAATTAACAAAAGATATTATAACACAGATGAAAGAGTTTAATGCTGAAGTTGATCAACCTCAAAAAAAACCTGAAATAAATTTGGCAGGATTAATAAATGCAACTGCAAATCATCTGGATCCATCAACAACTGTCGATGATCAATCAGAAGTATCCTCAACTATGAATACAAATGATATACAATATCCTTCGAATGAAACGAAAAATAATACAAATGTATTAGAAAAACGAGCTTCAATTGATCGAAGTAAAACCAGTATAAAAATACATCGATCTATATTTGATACAGTTAATATGAGATGTAATTTTTAATCAAAATTATTCTTGTGTGTATTATATTTTAGAGATCAAGACGTTCGATAAATGCTATACATGATACAAATAGTATTCCATCTAATACTCCTATGAAAAGCAGACCAAATGATATGGTAAAAATAAATTTGTAATATTTTCGATAATTAATAGAAAAATTTTAGATATCGAATTTAATTAATCCCAATCAAAATTGTCAAGTAAATAATCGTGCTTCAGTTATAAATGTAACAAAATCTCGAGCATCTAATGTTCGTCTTGGTCGATCTCAATCTCAAATTGATCGACCAGGTACTTCTAGACTTTCATTGCAACCACAACGAACTATATTAAATGATTCAATTCATACGAAACTTCCATCTTCTTCGACAATGACTGCTATAATGATGATTAATAAGCAACAGTTTAATGGTTCACCTTCACTGATATCTAATCAGCAACGACATAGTATGCAAAAAATACCTCTATACAATAAACGTTATAGCAATCAAACATAATATGAAGTTTTATTTTTGTATTTGTAATCTTTTTCTGTTATTGAATCTTTGTCTTTCGATAAATCAAGCTGAAAAATATTAAATAAAATTTTATTTTTTCTCTTTTTGATATATTCACTAATAAATCGTACGTATATTGTATTTTGATTTTTTTTATGGCTATTGGAATCTGCTGATAACGTTATCCATTATCTGTTACTCTTAGACATGACCCAAACTCAAATTCAAACCGTTTCGGAGTTTGAGTTTGGATCTTTTAATTGCCATCAATGTATCCAAAATAGCATCTTCTACAGATTAAAAAAGCACAAAACCAAACTCAAACCCAAGCTACCTGGGGTTTCGGTGCTAAACCCAAACTCACCAAACTCAAACAGTTTGAATTTGGGTCATGTCTAGTTACTTTAAATATTTCATTCTATAAGTAAACAATAAAATTCTCCATATTAGTGTTCGACTTCTTATAATTATTAGTAGTAAAACAAGTAGATTCACAACTAGCAATGGATAAAAGATTGAAGAACAGAGAATTTGAAATTTAATCTGTTGATTTAATATAAGGAAAAAATTAAACACGTTCTAAATATAGAAAATCCTGCTTGATAAAATCTAATATGCAAATTTAATTACAATAACAATAGTTCATATATTAATTGTTTTCTTTTCATGATGGAACTATAACCATTTTTCGATCATTCGATTGTATAGTATTAATTGGTTGTACTTTAACTTTAAGGCATATTATATGTCGATAGAAAAGAATTAAACGTTCTTTGAAAACTTTACGAAAGAGTTTACTTGATAATGTATTCATAAAGAAACTTTTACTAAAATTTAAATAGAAAATAAAACTTGATATTTGTAAAAGTAGTTTTTCAATAGCAATACGATAATCGTCTTTTCTATCATTTGTTGTAATAACTGTATAGGAATAGTATACTGTTCGAATATTAAGTAGAATTGAACTTGATATTACTTGAATTAATGTTATTCGAATCATATGTGAATCTGTTCGATTTCTTTGTTGTTGTTGTTGTATTGTATTCATAAGACGTTGACGACTCTTATGAATATTATAATATGTTATTAAACCAAATATAAACATACTACTTTGAGGAATTAAACTTGTCCAGAAAATACTATACATTGATAGAAAATATGAATATATACCTGCACGTGGATAACATTTTGGTCGATGTTCATAATATATAAGTTGATGAAAACTTGCAAGACTATTTAAAATTATTGGAATATATGTCATTCGATAAGCTATTTTAATTTGACTAAATGAACGAAATCGTGTATTTGTTGATGTTGATAAACATCGATCAAGAGAAGCTAAAACAATATAATCTGTTGATATACATGGCAATACCCATGTAAGAAATGCACGCATTCGACACCAAATAATATTTGTATCATCTAATGTACTACCATATTGTTCACTTGCTAATTTTGTAAAAAGACCAATGTTAAGAAATATAAAATCAAATAAAGCAGACATTAGAAAATACCATCCACAAGAATTTTGACGTAATTGTTTTGCTGTAAATGTAAGAAAATTACATATACATCCAATATTACCAAGAATAAGCATAATATATGGAGTGATGAAAGTAATAGAAGTTCTTAAGTTTTTTATTGATGTGATGTCCATTGTCAAATCTGTTAAAATTATTGTTACAGAGTTGGAGAATTAATCAATAGAATTCATAATAAGTACTACAGAATTATCAACAGATTTACGATAGTTAAATATATGATCGACTCGTAATATCCTCAAAATGTTGGAAAGAAAAATTAAAGATGTTGTTGAGTCGTTATAGCTTTAAAATTATTACAGAAAAATCTATTGATTTTAATTGAATAAAGTAGAATATTAACTCTCTATTACGTTTGCTGTTTGTTATAAATATTTATACTTATTTTAATCACATAGCGATAGATCTTCTAAATCCACCTATTTTTCAGCACATACTTGTCATTAATATTTATCAAAATAAATAACTTGCTCGTGTTTCACAAAAACAAAATAATTCAAATTGATTAATAGTATTTTTAATATATATAGTGTTAGTTAGTGGATTGACTGAATTAATCGAAAATATACGCAATAAATGTGCTCGTGAGGAAGATACAGAAAGAAAAAGTCATCGAAGGAATATTTTGAGCTTCTAAAAACATATAGCATTTTTCCTAGTACAGTTACACAAGTAACTTCATCTCGGACTTTCATATTCTCTACTATATGCTATATTTATAATGACATGATAGTTGTTTCCTTGTACGATTGCTCGTATAAATGTAAGAATAAAAATGTTCTAATTTCTCAAAAACTCAAACGTTTTTAATTATATGGATACCGCGTTCACTAAGGCGCATGAAACTAAGCTATCTATTCTGTAATTTAAGTACTTACATATAAATGATGTATACCAACTCATATTATTCACATTTGTATTTCAATTTTATTTCAGAAAATATAAAAAATTGTTAATAAAATATCCCGTAAAAAGTTCATTTAATGAACAATAAATTTTATACTAGAACTGGTGTATTAATATTAGTAATTATTGTACATGGATTGATCGTAGTACAATTCAATTTCAACCAAAAACCAAAATGATAAAGTTCATTATCATCCCCACCAATTGATTTTGGCACTAATTGTGTCAGAGAAAATTTACCATATGCACGAAAACTAAGTTGACCAGATTTTGGATTATCTTTTACATAATCAAGATAACAAGTTCCCGGACACTTCCATACATGATCATTTATTATTTCAAAATCTCCATTTTGAATTAAATTCAATGTTGAATTAAATGTTACATCGTCAATATAAACATAATTTTGATTATTAGTATTGAAATCAAATGATAATAAGAATGTGTTCCATTTCTTTGTTACTTTCCAATCAAAACAATAATATTTATAATCTGACGAATAGTCACCTTGTATTGTATATTTAAATTCATCAGATGCCATCTGAATACATTCTATATATTATCAAATATGATGATTTCTTTTTTTTTTTAAGATAATATAATTACTTCGTGGTTCAGCAATGGTCGCTTGAATGGGTTGACATGCATCAGTTTGTTGATTAATTGAATCAATAGGTTCTACAATATAAAGATATTGACTAATCTTTTATAATAAGTACTATTTCTTTCTATGATAACCATTCTTAAAAAATCCTGTAATTATTCCCTCTAGAAAGATTTTCTTTATATTAAAATTTACTTTGAATTGGTCCAGAAATTTTATAAAATCTATTTGAATTCGCTTGTAACATCATTACAGTTTGATCAATAGTAATCGGATTTTTCTTACAATCATCATAATATTGTTTATAAATTATTAAACTTTCATATTTTGTTAAGACTTGTTCGATTAATTTTGCTCGTGATATATAAGAAATAAGATATTTTTTATGAAAATAAATTTGTAAGGCTAGTATTAAATGGTTTTCTGATGCCATTGTTGCATTAGTAATAATACATTCTGCACTAATATCATTCAGTACAATATTTAACTAGAAAAATAAAAGTTTATTTATTTATTAAATATGTTTTTAAAAAGAGAATAATAACAAACTTCATTCTGAATTGATTTAATCATTAGCGATGTTGGTACAAATACTGAATTAGTATTTTGAAGAGATCGTTTATGTTTTGCTGGAGAATTTTTAAATGTAAATGCTAAATCTCTTGCTATATAAACTAAAAGAACAAAAAATCTATTTTGTTATAGAATATAAAACGTCTTTTAATACCTGATCTTTTTCCTGTTGGTGCTTTTGTTGTAGTTGTTGTTGTTGTTGTTTTATTTGTGGAATCATCTTCTAAATAGACTGGAATCAATGACAGAATGACGATTGTACTAATTGATAGACCAAGTATTGCAAGTGCAACACATGTTATCCAATTTATCCGAGCATAATTTGTAGTTGCTATCATTTTTTAAAATAACTGTAATGAGAAAATAAAATATTTGTAAATTCAAAATGGAAGTACCATATTGAAAACTAGCTATTTTTTTGTCTGTTTCATATAATTACGTCTAAAAGCATGAGAAAAATATACATATGACTTATATCTTGGTAACAAACATATTTCAGTATTCCAAATGTATGACATTTGAACTGTAATAAACATACAAATGTTAATTAAAAATGACTTCATACATGTTAAATTATTCTGATTCATCAATAAATATAGTATATATATATATATATATGTATATTGTTCATTGAAGTGTTTCCTTGCTTAAATTTCATGCTTGAATCTACCATAATGAAAGATACATATCAATCAATAGCTGACATATATAAAAATATGTTATACCTCTATGAAATATATCTAATAATCAATAAACAAAAGTGATACATCACACCTCCCTTTATTAATAGCGCTTTTTTTTTAGTTATATATGTATCAAAAGAATTTGATTTTGAATACGATCATTAAGCTTATAATAGTTACTATTAGTTTAAAGATGATTTATTATTGGAAAAAACTAGGGTGTGAGTGTGGGTGAGATAAAAGAGAGACGCCGATACCCATTGAAGGAAAAACTTACGAGAGAACATATTTACGTAATATTGTGGTGAGTTGAAAGTTTGGGTATACATGATAAGCGAATAAAATAAATTCCAATACATATTCAGAGTGTTAGGCCAAAGAATATTTGATTGTAGGTGACGATCAGCAGAAATTATTAAATGATTAATTTAATATATGTTCGTGCAAAAAGCTTTTTATTCGAAATCGAAAAATTGAAAGTTGAAAGGATTTCGCTACTATTTCGCGAATAGGAAGTCACAAGATACTCATTCAAACAGGAATGCGGTTAATTATAGATAATGAATCATCAGCGTTATTTTCACATCGAGTCTATCGTCGCATTTCATAGTCGAGACAAACTCGAATACCCTCTAATTAAATAGTAATTCATTCATTAAGAAACGACATCTATTCAGTTATAGTTTATTATCTTAAAAATGATACATAGATTAACTATGGATTATGGATTTGAATACATCATATACCTTGACTGATCTGATTAGCATAAATGAAGCGTGAAAAATATTTTTATATTTTTCTTTTACTTTTATCTTTATCAGGATGACATCGTATCCAATACTTAGTGATGCAACATTGTCATTATCAAATATTTCTACTGAAATTTATCCAATTATAACTTCAATTCGATCTGAATGGAATTCAACAAATACTAATCTAATCATATTTAATAATGGTTTATCAAATATAACGTTTGGTTTGTTTGATACACGACTTACAAATGATGAATCTCAAGGATTAGTTATTAAATTATTTGGTACAAGCTCAGACTTATTTATTGATCGACAATCAGAAATCAAAACAATGATTGATTTATATAATAAAGGAGTCATATCACAGCGTATACTTATAAAATTTAAGAATGGTATTATTTATGAGTATATACCAGGTAGAATATGTTTACGAGAAGATATATTTAAAGAAAATATTGCAAAATTAATGGCAACTAAACTGGCATTACTTCATTCTGTACCTATTGAGCAGACAGAAAAATCATTTCTTATTCCGGCTTTACGAAAATTTGTTGAAATACTTAAGAATTATGAACAACCAACAACAAAAGGTTTGATATGAAATACTAAGAGATTGTTTCATTGATTTTTCTGTTTTGTTTTTTCTCTCTTAGAAATCTTAGATATTTCAGTAGATATTGATTTAATCGAAAAATCTGTTCTTCCTCGCCTACTTTCAAATACACAAATAGGAAATAATCTTGTTCTATGTCATAATGACCTTGTTCGAAATGTAATTTATGATGAAAAAACAGAAAATTTATCATTTATTGATTTTGAATATACACATATAAATTATGCTTTTTTTGATATTGCAAATCTTTTCGTTCAATATGCTGATACTGATAATGAATACATTCGTATATATCCAACACGTCATCAACAAAAAAAATGGTTAACAACTTATTTTGAAGTACGTGGATTAAATGAAGTAATAATCGATGATGATTTATGTTATGTTATTGATCAATTTGCAATACTTTCACATTTATTAATGGCACTTGATGGATTTGCACTATTACATTTATCAAAATCTAAATTTGACTTTCTTAGTTATGCAAAAGCTAAATTAGATTGTTATTATAAATTAAAATCAAATCTTTTTCAATCGCAATAAAATTATTTTTAAAGTATCAAAATGCGTTTTGTTTCAAAAAACTGATTTCTATGCTAGAAATCATTTAAACATGGTAAGAACACGAAAAATACTTGGGTAATGTTGGAAATCACTAATAAAAAGAGTACAAAATTCAAAGTTGATTTCTAATGATTTTTCTATAATATTTACTTGTTTTCATGAATTTTTAATAAGAGAACATATTTAGATGTTTAAACACTTTCGATTCCATCCTCTGACTTTATACGTAGATATTGATGCGGGATGAAAAAGTGATAAGTAAAAAATTGAGAGCTAGTATACTGAAATTCTCTATCATCTGAGGAATAGATGTCTACTAGAAGCGAAAAGATGGAATCTAAAGTATTTGAATACCTACGTATTAGTATATTTATGTGACTGCATATTCTAGATTATCGAATAGTAGCAAAATATTGTAAATTGGAAATCTAGATCATGAAGTCTTTTATATTTTTATTGAAATTTTTATTTTGTTTCACATTATAAGGGTGTGGATGACAGTAAAACTTGCCTGTATTAATTCTTCATTTATTTTTACTTCTGCTCGTCCTCACAAACCTTTATCGCTTCAGTTTTCTTACTGAAAATTACTGTCTTGTAATCTATATAATCAATGTAGTTATATTCAAGAAGTATGAATTATATATGATTATACAATGATTATATAGCTATTAATATTATTTAGATCATGTTACTGGTTGTGCAGAAACTACGTTCATTTTTTATGGAACATTATTATTTTTTAAATATCTTTAAAAAAATACACCTAATTTGTCAATCGGTCAAAAGTAATTCCTAATGAAAATCGAACTATAACTTTCTGTTATGAACAATCAAATATTTTTTGTAAATTACCCAGCAATGAGTGACAATAATCTGTGAACATAATAAATCATAAATTTTAGTCAATTTTTAATTTAGAACATCATGAATATACATATGATACATTCATCTCAATTAAACTACTGTAAAAAAAACTTGATAATATAAGAATAAATAAATTATATTGGAGTAAATAAAGTTATGAAATATTCTATTCACATTATGAAAAATATAAACATAAGAAAAATTAATTTTTAAAATATTCAATCCAAATAAATCTATTTTTTAGTTTCTTTTTTGTACAGTTTTGAACTATGTTGTAAGTTTATATAGGCAAATATCTATATATCATTTATCTCGTATTAAATTAAAATGATTTTTTTATCAGTAAAATCTTGTTTTATGATAAATTATATAAAACATGAATGATTTGATCATAGAATATATAACGATTTCATTCGTTTATCAGTAGTATCACTATCATATTTAACGAATAGATAATGCATATTTTACGCAAGAATGATCAACGTTAGAAAATATATCATAGGCTAAATATTATGTCAATGTAGACTTTATGATGTTTCTAATATATCCAAACAATTATATCACGATACCATAATTTCAGTCTAATTGTTATATATTGTTTTGAAAAGGAAATAACTGTTCTTCTCACAGATGAGTATTGCCACTAATCTGCATGCTTTCTTCATTGTAATATGTATTTGATCCATCAAGATCTTGAGGGTGGGTGTGGATGTGAGCGTGGATGCCTCTCTTTTACTTATTCATCATCTTTAACCATACCCACATACAACCACACCCAAAATTCTGTCGTAAGCGAGAGAAAGAAGTTGAACATCTTCCAATGCATATTACTTCTTAGTTCGTTCTCTTTACTTTCTCCTTTTAGAATTCTTAGTACAGGCCAATGGTCACTAGTTGAGTTCTCGGAACATACTTGGAGTGTGAGTGACCTTCCTCTAGTGAAGGCATAGTCAATGAGCCGTTCCCATTGAGCAGAAGTTATTTATTAAGTATATACTTCAACAATAAAATTTTAATAAGGAATAAAAATATGAATGAAGCATAGAAATAATAGTTTATTTTAAAATTTATTATCAATATAGATCAGAATTTAAAAAAGACTTATGAGATAATTGATTAGAGAGAAAGCGATAAATTTGTCCATCTTGTCATGTTTTCAATATATTGTTTCAAGAGAATTATTCAAGTTCTTTTGAATAAACACGAAAACGTTTTTGTTATCTTTTCTTTTCATCAGTACGTTTCAAAATATGAGTTGGAAGTGTAGCGCTGGAAAACAGAGATAGTTTTAATAATGAACATTGGGAATAACATGGTACGTCTTCCTATAAATTATCAACTAACCAAAAGATTTCGTCGATTTAACCAGGTACTTTTTTGATTCTTCTTTCTGTAGATTATTTTTGCGTTTGTTGTCTTTTTCCTTTGTCACTTATAATATCAATTTGTTTGAGATATATATTATTGATTGAAATTAATTTCTTGGCGTAAGCGTAACTATAAGTGTACATCCAGAGTGAATCAAATACTGATTCACACTCTCATTCGTCTCTTTTTACTTTCAATAATATAGATTCCATTTTCTTTTCCATTCATTTAGTCACAAATAAGTAGTAGTTGTTCCACAATATGTCTTGTTTCTTTGACATCGACATGTTCTATGTCAAGAGTATCATCCGTTTATAAAACTATGCACATAACATGAACATGAAATATATCAATTTTATAAAATACAACAATTAAGCTGATTACATAATTTGGCAAAAATGAGTGTAGCTGGAAAAGTTCGATTTGTTTCAAAAAAATATTGAGTTATTTATCTCTGATATATACCTGAGAACGATTACTCATACGTTATCATCACGTGCGAACTCGATCTCATCCGAATATATGTAGTTGAGAGTAATAAATGATTAGTATTCTTCACATCGGTATTTATACCCACTCAGTTGTTAAAATAATGATCTGTCTTTTATTAGTTATAGCTA